TATTTATAATATATTTTATAGAGAGATGTAGTAAAGATGAAGGAAATGTTGTTTTCCATTCCTTACTGATAGAGAGATACAATGATGACAGGTCATTGAGAAGAGTTTACTGTCATTTGATACGAAGTATCTCATCTCTGTCTGTTCAAATGATATATTCTCCTCTTTTATAATGAGTTGCATACTGTAGGATGATAGAGAGGTTGTTGAAATAGCTAAGCTATAAATGGTTTTAAAATGATTTAATGAGAGGGCTAATGATTTGTTGCTTTTGAGGAAGATTTTATTATCAACATTGTCTGCTATCAACTATTCTTATATTTTTTGGCTATTATCATAGTCATTCATTCATTAGTCTAATCAATCTTATCACTATATGATAAATGTTCTATCTATTATCACTCTTATCACTATCATCATTCTTATTTTAATTCCTATTAAAATTTTTTCTCTAAACGATATCATCCTTTCATTTTAATGTGATTTCTCTTTTTGTGGGAATAAAATTGTAAGGATTTTTTAGGATTAGAATTTAAGTAGGCTTAGATATTAATTCAAATATCTTGTTGAAGTAAAATAATAGGATAAAATTGTTGATTATAAGTAATAGAGAAGAGTATATTGACCACCTGTTTCCTATCTTATCTTTCAATTCTTTTCCTCTTATCATTTGGTGTAGTTGAGCTTTTTTTCCCTTTTTTTTTTTGCTGAGAATTAGAATGAACAAGTACCACTCGACCTTTAACCCAGAAGTGCTCATACTTCAATCCTTCCACTCAACAACATCGAATCGATCAGTAAATGCCTCCTCATTATCAATAAATTATACCCCCCACATTGCGTCAGAAAGAGAGATTCTTCTTCTTCCAATCAGGGATGAAATTATATTCTTTTTGCATGGGAAGAACGAATAGAAACTTATTATCATAGAATGAAATGAAATAGAAAAGATCAAAAATGAGGAGAGGAAATAATTAATTAAAATTTTTGTTTTGAAAATTTATTCTTCCATTAAAATGTGTAGCAATTTTTCAAGCTATCACTTTGATCTAAAAAAAACAAATAATTTTCAAACTATTTTGCTTTTCTTTTTTGAACTTAAAAAATTATCTATCCGATGGCATCTTAAATGGTATTTCAATGGATTTGAAATATCAGAAAATGTAATTGTTCAAATTTCAATTTTTGTTTTTTCCGATTTCAAAAAATAAACATTTAAAGATTATTTTCAGTTGCTGAAGGTCTTATCAAATTTTTGATAACTCTCTGTAACGATTCACATATTTATCTTGATCATATCGTACAGCAAATTGAATACGATGGAGGAAGTTCGTTTTTTATCTTTTTCTTTTTAAATTATCAATTATCAAACTTTTAAATTATCAGACATTTTAAATTATTAAATTATCAATTATTAAATTATAAAAATTATCAAAATTTATTAAACATTGATTCTAATATTGATCTCGAAAATTTCCATAATAATTATATGAAAAAAATAAGAATAACTTGGTTGATAAAAATTGAATTCTTCATTATTTTTGTATTAATTATATTTGAGATTGTTGTAGATTCAAATTATAAAGTTTTTATTTGCTTTACCTATCATCGGCCTTAACCTGTAGGCTTATTAAATTTACATTTCAGGAGTGAGTGTAAAATGTTTGGTTAATGGTACTCGTGAGGTAGTTTTCAATAGTGATTGTGTATTGTGTACCATACCGCTTGGTGTTCTTAAACGATCAGTTCGAAATCGTAATAATGCACCATCATTTCATCCCGAGTTACCGCAATGGAAAGTTGATGCTATCAATTCGCTTGGTTTTGGAAATGTTAATAAAGTGAGAGAAAATTTCTATGGAATCATTTGATTATTAGTTCGATCCGAGTATTACAGCTATTCAGTTCGACTCGAGTTTTTTTATCAGTATTATTATCATGAAAATATAACTAAAACTTATTTAAGTTTATTAATTTAATTTATTTTTCATTTCAGATTGTATTGTTTTTCGAGAAATCATTTTGGGAGAATACACGTGTTTTTGGACAAGTATCGGATACAATGTTAGTTATTCATATTAATTATCGGATGTTAGTTATTTGTATTAATTATTTAAGTTATGGATTAAGATGTTCAAAGGAAATATGATATATTATTACTTGAATTTTATTCACCATTTATCTCATTTAAAATATATGGCAGTCTTAGTGAACATTTTGTTTACAGGTGTGCAACCAGTCGCGGTGAAATGTTCATGTTTCAAGCACATCGCGATAAACCAATTCTAATTGCACTTGTATCGGGTGATTCGGCTAATGCTCTCGAAGAAGCACAGGGTGATGTCATTGTTTACCAAATTATGAATTTCCTTTCTGCTGTTTTTGGTCCAGCATGTCCAAAAGAGGTATATATATACAATATATTGTGATTTTTGTAGAAGAATCAATCGATAATGCTATTCTTCAACATTATATGACATTTTAGACAAGTAATCTCGTGAAATATCACAACATTACAATACATTGAATTCATTTATAAATATATAAGAAATAAAATTACATTTAAAATTGAAATTTAATGAATGAATAGAAGATAAAATATCGTTGAAGATAGTATTAATTAATTTTATGTGAAAAAAATTAATTTAATTAATTTAATATAATAAATATTATAATTTAAAAATTTGTTAATTTACATTTTACAATAATTTTCTTTTAGATGTTTTCCTTTTTCAAATACTATTTTAATAATTTCATACTTTCTTTAGCCAACGGATGTAATTATAACACGTTGGAGATCGGATCGTTTTTCGTGCGGCGCTTTCAGCTATGTTTCATCAAATTGCACATGTAAATTCAACAATTTACTGCATTTTATCATAAATTTTTATTTGAAAAATTGTTTTAGAGAAAATATTAAATTAATTAAATTTGAAATTTGCTAATTAGTTCAAATGCTTTTACTAATTTCTAATTTTTTCGGATAAATTAATTAAAATTTCAGTAGATGCATATGATAGTTTAGCAACACCGGTGAAAGATTCAACTGGTTGTGATCGAATTTTCTTTGCTGGTGAACATACCTGTCGAGAACATCCTGGATCGGTTAGTTAGTTTAAATTAGTACTTTTATTTTTATTTAGCATATTATTCATTAAAATAACACTTTTACCGTAGTTTGAAATTAATTACTTTCAAATATTAAATAATGTTATTATCAAATGTTACAATATACCTTTCATATATATTTCATAATATGATTTATTTTGATATTTTTCCTCTTAAATATCTTCAGATTCATGGTGCTTATTTATCGGGTTTACGTGAAGCTGGACGTATCGCCGATCTTTTACTTGGAATTCCTTATGGAACTCAAATTGATCCCAAAAAGATAACCACTTCTTCATTTGCAAAATAATTTAACCTTTCCGCTTATTGAAATTGCAAATTATTTTTGAAATACTTTCATAAAAATACGAACTTTACTCACTTCTCTGTTTGTGTCAAATTTTTAATAATCAAAGAAAATAATTAATTAGTGGAAAATTAGAAATTTCGCAGATTTCCTTCATTCCCTTATCCATCCATTCATTATTTATTCAATTGATACTTTTCATTGGATATACTTCTGAACTATCTAATTTTAATATGTTGTTGTAATGTTTCCCAAAATTTCTTTATTGATAATTTCCAACATTTCATAACTTTTAATTGAAATAAAGAATTTCCATTTGTCAGAAATATTTTAGCAGCTCCGTCACCTTTTTAACCTTTTTCACTAAAAGGTAAACGCTTCAATAACATTTCGGCAAAGGTAATAGAAAAGTTTAATTAAAATTTAAGTAACAAAAAAAAATTATAGTAATTTAAGGTGAAGATTGCATAATTATCATTGTTATCAATTATCATCTAATTATATATCGCTTCCTTAAATTACTCAATTTTGAATTAGAAAACTTTTTTATTTCACATTTCTCAAATTTTCTGCTAATTAATAAAGAAAATATATTGTTTAATAATAAATGATATTATTATTTAAAGAATTGCTAAATTTTAATTTTACATTTCACAACATCGTAAAACAATCTAATAATAATTGTCAGCTATAATGCTAATAAGTGATAAAATATCGCATGCAACGAAAATATTGTTTGAAATAAAGATACTACTAGATCATAAATCATCACATAACATTGCAGTATGTGAGAAAGGATCAGGTTGATTAGATCAGGCTTGATTAAGGTTTGATTTTGATTAAATTGTGAAAACGCCTTTTAATGTATTTTCAACGCTATCAATAAATTTTGAAAATTTTATATCACACCGTTTTCTATTCCAATACAATTTTTTATCAAATAAAATATTACAAATTATTTATCACTAAACGTGTAATAATCTCTTCTCAATCAAACTTTATTTTATTTTTAAAAATAAATTTTGATTAAGAATTTTACCATTAAGGATAAATTTTATTTGTGATAAATCTAACCTAAGGATAAATCTCTAATGTGATAATTTACTAACATGAAAATTTAAATATTTTCCATTTTCATATTTGTCTTAAATTTCAAATTTTAGAAATAAAATTTATCAATCATTAAGAATTTTCGTATGCTTCAATAAATTCAAGTTTAAAATACAATTTTCTACAATTATTTAATCTATGAAAACAATCAAACGAAAAGTCTAAAAGGCACCGAACAAATGAATAATCTAAGAATAACAAACGAAGAAATGTCATCCATCCATTCGGACAGGTGGTAATTCATACAATCACACAATTTTGCATAAATTTTAAAATTTATTATTATTAAAAAAGGTATAGCAATTGTGGGTGTAAGGTGTAAAAAAAAAAAGGTGTAGCAAAAAATAAATAAATAAACAAATAACTTTCAAAGAATTTACATTAAGAATTTTTCGTAAGAAAAAAATTCTTTCAAATAATAGTAATAATTTAAATTAGTATTGTTTGTATTATTTCAAAATTATTATTAACTAACTTATGTATAATATTTAAGAGAATCACGATGAAATTCTTCCTCATCATCGTAATCATCGAAACCATTTGCATCGTTACGTTGTAATATCGGTCTTTTAGGCATATTTTGAATCGGAACTGATGATTGCGCTTGTTCTTGATAATATCCAGAATTCTAAATTAATTAATTTATCATACTGTATGAATTTTTTTTCCAAAAATTTTTAACTAATAGAAATGCAAAAGAATATTTTTAATTTTTAATTAAAATAATAATTCAAATTCAAATTTCATTTTAGGAAAATTAAATGCTAAATTTGAATTGATAGTATTTTCGAATAGAAAATGTAATTAATTAATGTAATTAAAAAAATCAGAAAAATATTTTTCAATTAATCAATTCATAGGTAAATTGTAAAAATGAAAATTTAAAATGAATTAAAGTATAATTGTACAATTTAGTAATTTCATAAAAAATAATATTTTGCAATATTTTTTTTCAATTGCAAAAAGTTGTAAAGTATTTGAAAATGGAGAAATTTTTGATAGCTTTTATGGAATGTTTCATTTCCAAATTATTTTTCACTTAATTAGCTTAATTAATTAATTCATTGGGAATTGTTAGAATGAAAATTAGAAAATAACCGATGAAAGGGTAAATGTTGGAGGGACACGCTGTGGACTTCTTTGCCGGACTGATTGTGGCATATTCATATTTGGTGAGTTAACCATTGGTGTTATTGGTAATGGTTGTTCCATTCCTGTATTGTATCATTAGCTTAATAGTTCCAATTATTCATCGTAATTATCATAATCAATTATAGCGTATTTTAAAGATAAAGATTTATAAATTCAAATATAGTAGAGGTGGAAAAAGTTTACCTTTATAAAACTTTCCTGATAATGATTTTATTTTAAAATTATAAGAAAGGAATTTTCAATTTCTGTTAAGCTTCTTTTCTATTTTTAACATAAAGCAATTCAATTACTTCTCATGTAAATTCAATTTAAATTTCAACGAAAATTTGAAAGTTACTTTTTATAGGTGACAAAATAAAAAACTGTCACTAACCTTGCATTATTTGTGATGGCGAAAACAATGTTGCAGGCCCGCGATTTTCCATTGGATTACGCTTTATTCGGGGTGGTGATTTAACGGGTGGATGTGTTGCTCTCCAATATGATTCCATATAATCGGCTAAATGCTCGCATGCATCTTCCAGTTGATTTTCATCCAGCAAAACATCAAACATTTCCTAAAATGAATTTGAAAAAAAATTGTTGAATAGTGATAAGATCCAGTAAATAATCAATTGTTATTTAATTTTATCACTGATAATTGTTATTTAATTTTATCATTGATAAGGTTGCAAAGTATTGATACACAATAGCACTCGATCATCTCCGTTAATTTTTGTGAATGAAATTTTATAAAAATTATTTCGCAATAAATCTATATTAAAACTTTTTATTAGCTTACCACTGGACATTGTGCTAATTTTTCAGCTGCGACCATTTGTACATTCATATTTCGCGTTTGTGATTTATTTCGTGATTTGATAAGCCTTTGAAGAACCTAAAATTAGGAATAGGAAGATATTCATGAAACAGAGCCTTTTCATCTGTTACTTAGCTTTTTGAATAAATTTCAAATTAAATAATTAATTTAATTATTTTTTATTTCAATTAATTTTTCCAATAAAGAAGATAAGAAGAAGGAAAGTTTTAAAAGAAAGCTAACTTTGGGTGAGCTAATTTTGATGTAAACATGAATCGGTGCAAGCGATGTTTTGGTTAGTTGCGACGGATGATTGATTGTGTCGCAATCTAATACGACAAGTTGCATGGATCGAGCTAATTCAAATATCCTTTCTATTTCTGCTTGAATTTCAGCTAAAAAAAAAGTAAGGAAGAAAATAGAAATGAAGTAAAGCTTGAAGAAAGCTAAAACTTTAAAGGTAAATCAATAAATTTTATTCTTTACCAAACTATTTATATTTTTTGAATATTTTCACAAAAAGGTTCTTCTAAAAGTTTCTAAAACAACTTATCATTATGAACTATGACATTCGTGAAATACAATTATCACGAAAGGTTATCTTTTTTCTGCGAGAAAAATGTCTATATGTAAAATTATCACCTCAGAAAACTTGCCTATATTTTGTCTTCTAAGGAAAATGTCTACATTTAAAATTGCCATCTACAAAAAATGTCTATATCTTAACACACCTGAGCAGAACGTCTGCACTTAAAATTATCACCTCAGCAAACTTATCTATATTTTGTCATTTGCGGAAAACATTTATACTTAAAATTATCACTTATTAAAAAATGTCTATATCTTATCATACCTGAGGAAAGCATTTGCACTTAAGTACACAAACATATAAAACCTCAAATATATAAAATATCTGTACCTAAATTATTGCTTGATCTTGAATTTGCTCTCTCCATTGTCGCACGTTTCGATGGATTATTCATCAATGTTCGTTTTGCCAATGATATATCAGCGGTGACCCGTGTAATTATTATTCTGCAAAACTATCCTATTAGTTTTCTTCAATAAAATTTAAAATAAAATTTTTAAAAAATTCTAATTAACAAAAGGAAAAAATAAGACGGTGTCAACTAACCTTCCCTCAAATCGATGTTTGAGATAATCAAAAACAGCTTTTTGCATCATATCCGTAACCTCATAACCTTTTAATGATGGTCCAACAATGACAACAGGTCGCATTGATGGTACCACATCATAGGGAGGTAAACTTTCTTGCTATAATAATTAGTTTTAATAATTTGGAAACTTTTAAATAAATTATATTAAAAAAATGAAAATTAAAAAATTCAATTGAAATATTTGAAATTAAAAGTTTTCCCTGAAAATCCCACAAAAAGTTTTATATTTGAAAAGTATAAAATTACCTTTTTGAACATTAATTTTCTCTTTTCTTTTATAGGCGCAGGTGTTGAAACTAAATCAATGATTTTCTTACCATGCGTATCATCATCTTCATCTAATTCATCTGCTGCAAATATTGCCGAGATATTCCAGGAAGAGAAAATTTTGCTAAGCATTCAAATTTATTAATGAATTATCAGTAAGGAATAATTCTTCTATATCACATAATTCTTCTATTAATCCAAAGTTTTATTCATACTTGCAAATTGTTAATTAAATATTTCAAATTAAAATTCAAACAATACTTTTCTATTATTTAAGCTTATTCTTTAAAGAAAAGAAATTTGATGAAAATTTTTAAAATTAAAAATGAAGTTTGAGATAGTACCTGGTGTAGGTGGAGTTGAACCACGTGAACCACCACTTCGTGGCATCATATCATCTAAATTGGCTAAATTTGGTATGCTCGATGATTTACTGAAAAGAAAAAAAATATGAAAATTTATTTAATTGAAAACAAAAAGGGTAAAAAAGGATTATATCCTTCAATAATTATATTTTGAAAATTAAAACAAAAAAAGCTTTCACTTTTGGGAATTGAACCGATATTCATTTTATTCTTCTTAACCGATAAAATGAGGAAATTAATTGATAGCTTTTATTTTTGGAATTATACCATACCGTAATCTCAATTTTTTTAATTTCAGTTTATTAATATTATGAATTAAATTTGCCAATGAAATAATACTTGAAATTAATTATGTAATTTGAGTAGATTTTAAATTATATATATATATCCAAGGAAATAAATAATTAAATTATTTTATTCCACTCGGACAGTATCTTTCTAAAAAATTTGAAAATTAAAACAATTAGTTATCATTAATCAATTAGCTGCAGGAAAGTTTTACCTCAAAATTTAAATAGGATATTATTCTAATTTAATTAAATTGAAATGAAAATTTCAGATCATATAGTTAATAAGCATCGATAATCATGTAATCTATTAAGATGAATTTAACATTTCAACGTATATTTTCAACTTATCATTAATCAATCAGCTGCAAAAATATTTTATCTCAAAATTTAAATAAGCTGTTATTTTAATTTGGCTAAGTTGAAATGGAAATTTCAGATCATATAGTTAATAAGCATCGATAATCATGTAATCTATTAAGATGAATTTAATATTTCAACGTATATTTTCAATCCTTATCATTAATCAATCAGCTGCAAAAATATTTTATCTCAAAATTTAAATAAGCTGTTATTTTAATTTGGCTGAGTTGAAATGGAAATTTCAGATCATATAGTTAATAAGTATCGATAATCATGTAATCTATTAAGATGAATTTATCATTTCAACGTACATTTTCATTCCTTTTGCATTTTGTTGTCTATTATTTTCAAGTTTAACTGGTGATGGAATAAATCCAAGATCGTGTCCTTCCTTTACCAAACGTCCTATCCACCAATAATCATTATATTTCTAAAATATTTTACAATTTTAATTCAATTTCGAAAATAAAAAAATGCAACAAAATTTGTGATATCTTTTGTTTTAAATTATAATAATAAATAAATTAAATACCTAAAAAAGAATTCATAGAATAAAATTACATTTTAAGCTTACTTTCATCTGTGATAAATAGTATGATAGAAAAAAAGAACTTACTTTAATTTTGATTTAAATAAAATTTAAAAAGAAAAATTCACCTCTTTGATGTGTAGAAAATCCTTAACTTTAAATGATACAGCACAACCATGTACAGGTGAATCATCGTCCAATGTTCCATCAAATTCCACATTTGTACAAACAGCAAAAGCTACCGGTTTATACTGTAAATTTAAATTTGAATAATTTCAAAGATTAAAATTGAAGAAAAAATGACAATTAAAAAAAAGGCGATTTGAAGGATATAAATTTGAAAAAAGATGAAGCAATTTAAAAGGATAAAATTAGCTTATTCAATCATAGCTATCATTTCACTTATTTCTCAATCGATCAGATTAATAATTTACTTACCTTTATTATTACTATCTCAGATATCTTAATGAAATGATTGACGAGAATTGAATGAATAGCTTTGAAATGCTCATCTCATCTCATCTCATCTCTACAGGTGAACTAAGAACTTTTTTACCCGAAGGGCAATGAAACTTGATCTCTGATTAATCGAATAAAACAAGTTTATTTTGTTTGTAAAAGAACGGTATGGATAATAATTAATTGTTGTAAAAACTATAATTACTTATCACTATTAAATTCTCATCATCATGATTAGATCACGATGAATAAACCAAAGATAAATTTCGCTTTCTTTATTTGATTATTATTTCTGATTTAAAGAGTAACAAAAATGTTTTGTTAAAAAGTTGTGATATCAGTAGAGATTTAAAATATACATTTAATATTAATTAAATTTGCTACAATTATGATAATAATATTATTTAACATTAATACTTTAGCTCGTTCAAGTTGCAACGCTGCGGAACGTTCCGCATCACGACGCAACGTTTCACGATTTCTTTCATCCAAATCAAAATCACTATCTTGACGGCTAAAATTCGAATCGGAACTATCCTTAAAAATAAAATTATTCAAATAAAATATAGAACATTATTTTTCAAGTTTAATTAGAGCAAAAGATTAAATTATCAATTATCATTGTTTTACTAAAATGTTCATTGTTCTTTCTTTTTTTGAGATTTTTAAATCAAAAAATGAAATTCAAAAGACGCTAAAATCTTAATGAATAATAAATGATATAATTAATTATTGAAAAACACAAAAGAAAAGATTAAAATTAAATTAGCTCAATAGTTTTGATTAATTCAAAGAATTGTTAAAAATTCATAATGGTACTTCTCCCTTCCAATCAGTTAGTATATCTAATTAAGGAAAATATCAAATTGAAATTTCATTTCTAATTTCCAATTTCAACAATTGCCTGCTATAGCTTTATAGAGATTTATAACTTTAAATAAAATTATGATAAGCTGTTAATCAGTTCATAAATATATGGAATACAAACCTGTCGACGGAAAGTCATCGATTTGATTGAAATAGTTTAGAAGTGAAAGGAAAAAAAGAAAAAGAAATAATATCAGAATTATTTGAGCTGGTTAAAATTCGAATCAACTAATCATGATATCATAATAATTATCTAAAATGAATCAATTAAATTAGCATAATTATGAATAGTTAATAAAAGATAATTCGTATTAGCAATGTATTTTTGATAAATCGATAAAATTAGTAAATGTATTGTTTATTTGATATAAATATAAAATAGAATAAAACTGTCAAGAAAGTAAATGATATTGAGATAAATCAAAATAGAAGACCTGAAATAATAAAAACATTTTATTCGTTAAATCTTTGTTAAACATTTTGTTGAATTTATATTTTAAATGAACAGTTGGGATTGTTTACTATTTATTTATGATAAATACTACTAAATAAAGTAGTGATATAAATTATTATCAAATTTATCAACTCTATTTCAAATCTGAAATATTGATTTATGTAATTTTTTTTTTAATTCGATAATTAAAGCGATAAGATCAATCAAATGAATAAATTAATTTTAATTAGTAAAATTAAGAAAACACTTCTTGATATCGTCAGAATAATCATCTTACTACAGCAATAGTACTTCTACTCTTATAATGAAATCACTTATCCGATATTTAAAATATGTAAATTTACTCAGAATTACCTCTCTGATATTTTTAAAATATATATATTAATGCATTAAGAAATTATCGATCAAATTCTATTCTTATAATGAAATTATTTATCTGATATTTAAAATATGTAAATTTATTCAGTATTACCTGTTTGATATTTAAAATTATGCATTAATACACTAATAGATAATTATGCATTAATACACTATTCTACTATAAGAGTAGAATAGTGTATTAATGCATTGAGAAGTAATTATCTATCCAATTAATATTTGAAATATTTATTTGTCTGAACTTAAAATATATTAATTCATTTGTTTAACAATAAAAAGGTTACTTTCATAGCATTGCTCTTTTAAGCCTTCAAAATTAAGCTATAAATTTTTAGTTTTAAATTATATTAATTCATTGGAAATTAAATTTTATTATAAGTTCAATTTTATTATAAGTCAAAAAGACTTTTTCACCCTTGCTAATAACAAAAAAATTTGCATATTGCCAAACAAAAATTCAAAAATTAAAAATTCATTAATTAAAATTTTAATTTAAATTGGAATTAAAAAAGGAATTAAATAATAGTTCGAAAAGAAAAGAATAATTTCTTTTAATTAGTTAAATTAATACATTTTTTATAAAACAATTTTAAAAACAAAAAATTTAAATTAAGTGAAAAAGAAGTTCGAATTTGTTTTGCACTCATTTTGATGAAAATAATTTCTTTCCGGAAAAATTTCCGTATCAGAATGATTTTCCTTTTTTCCTCTTTTATTTCAGTATTAAAGTAATTATAAATTCTATTTGAATATTTGAACATTCAAATTTTAGCTTATCAATACATTTTGAACTGATATCAAATGATATAGGAAAGATTGAAATATGTATAAATTATATTAATTACTATGTAAAGATAAAGAATATTTACTTTTGGAAAATTTCAATATAAACAAAAAGAAACTTCGAAAAAAGGAATATTCGCGTAAGTTACGTTTGTTTGATAAAAATGTCACGTAAAAAGAAGAATGTGTCATTATTTAATAAAAAAATGCAACGTAAAGAAAAATAAGTTTTACGTAAAAATAACGTAGAAATTCAGCGTAAAAAATAAGAAAAATAAGTTAACTTACGTTATCGTCTAAAATGAAGAAATTCCACGTAAAGAAAAGAACAAAAGAAATTCAGCAAAATTATTTTCAATGAATAAAAATTAAAATAATAAATTTTACGTAAACTTTACGTAAGTAAATTTCATAATGGTTAAAATGCTAAAATATATATTTTAATTATTATATAATTAATTTTACATCCCAAATATTTTTGTTTTTTTCTTCGCAAAATATTCTTTAAAAATATTTGCGTCAATTTTTACGTTAATGTTAAAAGACAGATAGATATCTTTCCAAGCAAATTAATTAGTTTACGAAAGAACGAATGAATTTTTGTAAAAAAAAGAAAAAGCAATAAAATTAATCAATCAATGATCGAAGGAATCTTTTGATGATAGCAAATTAAGTTTTCGAAAAGTTTGATTGTTAAGTTGTAAGTAAAAGTGAATGGTGGAAGGTGGCAGGAAGAATAGTGAAAAGCGGGGGAGCGGGTTGAGGTAGGAAAAAAAATGGGGATAGATGAAAATGAGGTAAAGAGAGAGAGTGATCTAACTATCTCTTTCTATCGTGGTATATATTTTAATGTATGAGATGTAAAAAGTATATATGGATGAGGGAGGGAGGAGGAAAAGAGGGAAGAAGGAAGGGAGTGGTGAGTTAACGCTTAGTTTCATTTCTCAGCACATCTCGATCGATAGTTTAGACTAGAAGAAATAAGCTTACTAGTAAGATAAGCAATTGTTATTGCCACCCAGAGAAGAATTGGTGAATAAAATAGAGGAAAATTTTTTAGAAAAAAAACCAGCTAGTTGAGCTTAATACTTAAGCCTTCTTTCCATATATGATATAAAAAGAAAGAAAAAAACGAAAAAAAAAGTGAAAAGAGAAAGAGATAGAAAATAATTGAATAGACTAATAAATAATGGATAGACTAATTGTTGGAAAAGAAATTAGAGAGAAGTTGAAGAAAATTGATAGTATCCGTTCATTCAATTCAATTCAATTCAATTCAGTTCGATTCAATTCATTTCAATTCAATTCAATTCAGTTCAATTCATTTCAATTCATCAATTATTTTATTATTCATTTTTAATTCATTAATTAATTTCATTCATTCATATATTTTTCCATTCTCCCTTTTCTTTCTATCATTCAATCGATTACATATTTTACAACACTTTGATATTTTCTCATTAACATATTACATTCAAATAACACATTTTCTTTGTGATAAAACTTTCTGTTGAAAAAGTTTTACGAAAAAAGATATTTCCATTTAAACGAATTCAAATAGGCAATTTTGTAATTGTTAACTGACGAACTGTTAACTGTTAAGACATTACCACAAGTGATATGGTAATATCTTAATTATAATCTTATTTTTAAACTCAGTCTACAGTACCATGAATTAAATATTTTCTGAAAGACACTACCATAAGTGATTGTCGAGAATATTGTACAAAACGAAAAGAAATACTGTAACGAAAAAATCGTATATAAATGTTGATATAAGATTAAAAGAAATACTATAGCGAAAATCATTTGTATCGCATATAATGGCATATTGTTGAATGATGATAAGAAATACTGTAAAGAAAATATTATTCATATGTAATGGTGTATCATAGAAAGAAATACTGTAACAAAATTATCGTAGAAAGATGAGAAAGAAAAAATTCGTGAAGTGAAGGAATAAGAAAAGTGAAGATAGGATTTTGAAAAGTTTATTTTCTGATTGTTTTATCCATTTCTTATGTTTACATTAGTAAATAACTTAAATCAACAATGAAGCTTTATTTTGCATTAATTTTCCGAGCGTAGGCTTTATGAAATTAGCGAGCAATTTGAAATAAATAAAATATCAACGGAAATTTTAGTCGAAAATTCAATTTAAAACACATCCTTTCAAAATTTTTAATTTCTATTTTTGCTTCTGATTACGGTAAATCAAATATAATTTAGGTATAATTGATTAGGTATAATTTAGGATATGAATAAATTTTAAACTAAAAAATTTTTTTGAGTCATTTTGAGCTGTTATATATTGATTTGATTATATCACAGATCAAACAAAATATGTTCTTCGATCAAAATTGATATCTCATCGACAAACTGATCGCATTGTTTTATTAGTAATAATTGAAATTTTGCTGTATGATTTTTCAATTAAAAAAAACAAACAATAAATTTGATCAAAAGAATGAAATAAATACGTATTGTTTCATTTAGAATAATTTTGGTCTCAGTATATTACTGAAAGAATCGATCATCGAAATGATAGAAATTTATATTTAATAAAATTTATTTATAATTTTTCTAAATTTCAAATAGCTTATGATAAAATTAAAATAATTTAAAACGACAAAAAAGAGAATTTACTTTCTTATATCAACAAAATTTTCACTTTTCAATTGTATAATTTCTAAGTGAGCTCATTATTAGAAGTTGAAGAATGTAGAAAATTATAATATATTGAAGAAAAATTTATTTCTTCTATAACGGAACAATTTGACAATCCCGGGAAATCGCGATTAAGACAATAATCTGGTAGTTAATACAAAATATTATCACTACCTTTACCCATTTGTAACATTTTTAAATTTAACTATAATTATTAACTCTAAATTAAAATTATTGTTCACAGAAGTTTGACATATTTTGATTTATACTTTACGAATTTTATTAAAAATAAAATATTTTCTCTACCAAAACATAAGTTGTCGAAAAAATGCAATTTTAAAATTAATGAGATATGATTTTGGTGTATGAAACAGATCAGATGTATAGTAGATGGATCAGGTCAGATGTATTTGGTATATGAATGAGATTAAATGTCTAATATATGGAACAGACCAGATGTGTCGTTGATGGATCAGATCAGATGTATGATACATGAATCAGATCAAATGTGTAGATACGGAACAGATCAGATGTGTGGTAGATGGATCAGATCAGATATATGGTAGATGGAACAGATTAGATGTATGGTAAATGGAGCAGATCAGATGTATATCTAATCAACTATATATTGATTTGTAACTAAAAATTGACTAATGAAGGAATAGGATGGATGGATATGTTTAGTTTAATGGTTAATTGATTGGAATAATTTAATTAAGAGTAACAATTGGTAAAGAAATAAATTATATAAGTTGAAAGAAAAGAAATGAAGCCTATATGCCTAATGAAAATAATGGAATTATAAAAAACAAAATGAATTATTTCTGACTTCTTCCTTTATTTAATCTTATATTCTTTAACAATAAGGAAAGATCAGACGATCTATTTTAGGCTTAAAAAATAATAATGCATGAAAATTAGAATTAGTGGCAGATATTTTATATACAGAAATAATGAACGAAATACATATACATTTATCATTTGAAAAAGAGCTGGAAAGAGAGTGAATTGTTATCCTCGAAGGAATAGAATCTAAAAATAATATCTATTCCTTTCTGATAGCATTTATCAAATTACATTGATTTTCCATTTTAACTTCATCATAAGGCTATAAAAATTTTAGGCCTAATTTAGTTTGTTAATAGAATTTTTTTTTCATATTCATTTGACATTTGACCTATTTGAGAAAAATTAATTTTTTTAAAATACTATATCTTATCTCAATGATTTACACCTGTAATCTGTCACTTTAATTGTCACCTTTTTTTTCCTTTTTTTGGCCAATTAGCTTTTTTTAATTGCTAAATGTAAGCAATAAATTCTAAAGAAATTTTTTTAAATATAAAATATATAAGTTTGAAATAATTTTCTACTAATTTCTTCCTTTTAAAATTTCCATTTATGTAGTAAAAAACGGATTGTGACAAAAACTAAGAAAGAAGGTATTAAACGATTTCAGTCTCAGTATTCTATATATTACTACTTATCATACATTTTACGATTCTTTTCAATTTTCCGGAATTCCGTTTATATAACAACGTATGTAGTAATTATGAGTACGCATTATTTGCCGGACATTCGTTCTGGATTAATGATAAAATAATGGATGGAATGAATGAGAATTTGCACAGATCAATAAATGAACTAAATTAATGAATGAGTAGATAGGTATATGAATGAGTGGATGAGCGATTTGAATTGACAGGTAAATGGCATAGGTTAATTCTATCGGAAAGATATATCTCTGAAGAGACCGTTTTATCAATGATTTATCAATATCTAAATTAACGTGCACAAAAATAAAATTAAAAATGTAATTTGCAATCAATAATTTGAAATATTATCAACAAAGTATTTGTTTTCGTGAAATTATAATTTGCAAAATAAAATTATAAATATAATTTGCAATGAGTATTAAATTAAAATTGAAAATATAATTTGTTTAATGTATAAACTAAACTTGGCTATTTCGTTGTAACCCGTGAATTCCCGTCTAACCCGTGAATTCCCAATCCATGAATTCCTAATCCATGAATTCCCGTCTAACCTATGAATTCCCGTCTAATCTATGAATTCCCATCTAACCTATGAATTCCTGTCTAATCTATGAATTCACGTCTAACCCATGAATTCGCGTCTAATCCATGAATTCCCGTCTAACCCATGAATTCGCGTCTAATCCATGAATTCCCGTCTAACCTATGAATTCCCGTCTAACCCATGAATTCCCGTCTAACCTATGAATTCCCGTCTAACCCATGAATTCACGTCTAACTCATGAATTCTCGTCTAACTCATGAATTCGCATCTAACCCATGAATTCGCGTCTAACCCATGAATTCGCGTCTAACCCATGAATTCGCATCTAACCCATGAATTCGCATCTAACCCATGAATTCGCGTCTAACCCATGAATTCGCATCTAACCCATGAATTCTCGTCTAACCCGTGAAGACCGATATTTGCATTTAATCGATGAATTACTACTGTTGTTAATTTAGAATGTTATCAACGAAGTGTTTCTACATGAAATTACACATTTTTTTAAAGAAGAATTCCTCAATTTAAATTGCCGCAATTTGTTGTATTTCTTTCTCTGTTGAAAAATTGTTCTACACCCGTTGTTGTATTTGGCGAAAGTGACATGGGCGGGGCGGGGGAGATATGTTGTAGTTTTCTCTTTTAATCTCGATTTTTTCGAGAAGTGCAATCGCTTATACTGTTTGATTATTCATTTTGTTTGATCATCCGACCTATCAGGAATTCGAACTCTCAGGTCATTCAATTTGCCCGCCATTCCGTACAGTCCAACCATTCTCATTATCTCGTAATTTGGACTGTTCCTTCGTTCATAACTGTTAGTAAGGCAAATTGTTATTGTACCTAGCTAATCAATTTTGTCTAGTTATTTGATCACTCTGATTATCCGGTTACTATCGAATGATTGAATTTCCCATTTTGTCTATTTGCTGGATGGACTGCCAAATTAAGCATCTAACGTACGATGATGTTTTTCTTTGATTTATTAAAAGTTATCCCAGAATGCATTCTGCCACAGATCAAAATTATGTGATATGTAGGGCGGGTTTTCTAGGAGATGTCGACAAGAAATGTATTTATCAATAGTGCTTATCTAATTATATCCTATAATTTGATAGTTATTTGTATTGCTTTACGACATAATTAGTACGGAGAAATTCTGATCAATTATAAAATTGAACTATGGACCGGAAAGTTTTGATTAAATTCACCATGGTATCAGGATATACTGGCGAGTACCAAAATACTCCATTGGATCGTGTCTTGATGCTTTTCGAATTTCATCAAGAATCCTTAAAGACTAAAGCTTCTGATGAATTCCTACTTCACTTCTAGTACTCCAAAAAGAATTCATCAATATGATATGGAAAAATCCAGATTATATCTGGAAAGTTGGATATCCTATAACATATTATCAACTTTATGCTTACAAAACATTCGTTATATCTGTATTCATCGCTTTAACATTCTTATCACTATGACTAACTTTGTGCTAATATTAATTATTGAAATATTTCATTTCAGATTACACATAACAGCTTTTTTTCTGTTATCAAATGGAATCCATGAGATAAAATGGCATCGTCGTTGATTAAAATATTTCGCTTCAGAAAGCACAAAGATTGTAATGATCTTGTAAGTTTGTGATTTATTATAATGATATTGTAAATGCTCTTACATCCTAATTTGAATTTAATATCCGAATCGAAGCATCTGATGAAAGACGGCATACAGGATTGATATTAATAACTTTCTCTAACCTTTTTCAATCTTTCATATTCACCTTCAATCTTTTTTTCGCTTAAAAAATGATTGATTAATTTCCATGTCTTGATCAAAAACGAAGCTTTATAATTCAGAAGCTTATGGCCAAAGCATATAGCATGCTGTCTAAATATTTGGATTAGGAAAATAATGTACCGCTTATCGGGATTAAGTATCCAGAATTCATAAAATCCACGCGTTTTCTACTGCAAGAAAAGTTGAAACTTATTGAGTATATCTATGCATGCTGAGCAAATAAGTCTCCTCTGGTTGATTCGCACATGTTCCCCTCAAAGAAACAAGGATTCTGTGTTTGTAAACAATCCAATATTCTTCTTTGTTTTATTCATCAAACAAATATTTTCCGAGTAATCATTTATTGTGAAACTTTATAGAATCGCAAGGAGCCATCGCGTCATTCGTTGCGATGTTGTTCGCCAATTCCTTCATGGCGATCCGATAAGGAAGCTATCTATATAAGCGGAGCATCATGGACTCGACCGTCAGCACCTTATTCCGTTATTACAGCACCAAAGAAGGGAAAACAAACAAGATCATGCCCTGGAGGAGTTTCCATTTTTCCGATTAAATCATCTAGCAACAAAAAATACGACTCAATTGAAAACAAGTTCGTTTCACTTATTATATTCATTCGTTAACTTCTATGTTAACTTTCCTTTGTTTGCTTGGTTCGCTTATTTATTCGAATAACTAATATGTAAGTAACGTAAATGTTTTATCAGATGTGTTTTTTCTTTTGAATTCAGCTAACTGTGCTAATCGTGCTTCGCTTTACTCACGTATTTGGATAGATGCATGACTAGTACAGTTAAGCTCTCAACCTCCTTATTTACGTCAGTATTGTCACTGTGATTTCAGAGGTGCTGGAATAGCAGCTGATGTCGGAAATCTGGATGCTGAAGTAAAAACATCTGAATATGGTAGCGCTGATCCGAGTCCAACAGATAGTTCGCAGAGTGTTCCCCTACCATTTTTGGAATCGAAAGCTGACACGGAATTCAAAGCTGAGGTTTGCTAATTTCAACTAAAGATAGGAAGAGGAAAATATTTTCCCATTTTACAATTCTATAAGAAATGATAATTTTTCAGGTCTGGACGACAAAGGTACGTACAGAAATGAGTGATTTTCTTTAAATTTCGGAATTATGAATTGAAGTAAATCTATACTGATCTTTTTATCCTAAATTTTACTTTTTAGATTCAGAAATACGAATTTGAAATACGCAGATTGAGGAAACGTTTGAAGGAAGAACGACATTATTTTAAAGGGCAAATCATTGCTGTACAGGTTTGATAATTAGTTGATCAAATTATGGCCTTTTAGGGGCATTAGTTGAATATTAAAGCAAAACTTATTGATGGTTAATAGGTTGATTTCAGAAAATTGAATATTATTAGCTCACCAAATGTTGTGTAAAAAAACACAAAGTTTAGATGAATTTGCTATTTTTCCAGAAAGAAAAAGATAACATGAGGCGCTACTTGGAAAAAGCTAGTCGAGCTGTTATGCATATGCAACGAGGAATTGATCAGGAAAGACGAAAGAACTCAAACTTGAGGAAACAGTTGCACGAATCAGATATAATTATTGTAAGAAATGTTTTCTTCAAAAAAATTTTTGCTACATTTTAATGAGAAATCTGTTTACAGTTTATTTAGTGCTATTGAAAAACAATTGAAGGAAATACTTCATTTCTTCTTAGAAAGGAATTCCAGTTTTTTATATTAGACAGAATTTGTTGTAGAATTTATTTTCCTCAGATTGGTCTGCAAAATCAACTTAGAAATAATCAGTATCGTGAAGTAGAACGTATGGGCAGTGTTAGTTGTCCATCATGTGGTTCAACGATTGTTGGCGCTGGCGAAGCACTCTGTGCGCTTACACACTCTAATGCAAATCTTTACGACGATTCATTTACTTCAAATATTAGCGATGCACCACTGGATGAAGTGAAAAACTTTCGTAACAAAAGATGTAGTACACCGGCAGCTGCACCATCACCAAGAGCTTCACCATCTATAAAAGTACTTTTTTTTACACTTTTTGTTATCAAATCAGATATCCGAATGCTAAGCTGAATTGAACACCTGAGTTATTTGAATTCGGATACCCAAAATCTTAAATAATTCCTTTTTATGAGCACCATTTACAATGTTACCTATTTTTTATTGGAATTTTAATTCTTGTTAAATTTCAATGAATTGTCAAGAAAGGAAATATGACGATGAAGATAATGAACATAAAAAACTTAGCTCATTAGTTTTGATTTTTAGGGTGTTAATATAGCTCCGAAGCAGATGGCTACAAATGAAAAATCATGCGTGAAATCGCCGCACAGTCCCTTGAGGCGTTCGTATTCGGATAGTGAATTACCATCAATGGTTTCAACAACTGAAGTGGAAAATGGTTCACAAGAATGCTTACTACAATTAATCCATTTGCCTACTCGTGGAGAATTACTCTCTGAAAGCTTGGTTAGTGGCTTTTTGTAAAACATGAATGAGTTACCAAGAAATGTAGATAATGGGAGATCCGAGATTAAGACTGTTTTTTGAATTTAACGAATATGTAATGTCTCGGATACATTTGTAGATTATGAGCTCATTTTATAATTTTCATTAATTCATTCGTTTCCACCCATGACTTTTCTAGGACGGTACTAGTTTTTCGTCTGATGAAGAAGCAACAACCATTGAATTACTAGAAAAGCAGTTAAGACGTCGTGGCGATAATGTTCGCTTTGTACCTCCACGGAGAGCTGTACGACAAGCAACTTTCCGACGTTTTGGTCGTAAAGAAATAAGTGCCCTGGCAGAATTTGACTATTTGCAGAATTTGAGTACTGATGCCAGTGGAATCGCAACAAGTTCCGATTATTCATCTCCGGAAGGACGTCTGGGATTAGGTAAAGAACGAAGAGTACCCAAAGGTCGGACACTGTGTAAATTAAAAATCTCCTCATGATTTATTTGAACTTTGTTTTTGTAATCATAATAAAGAGGGTCAAATCCTTACTGTCAATGCTTAATGTCTATAATGATGTTTTCTTGTTGGAACTCTGTTGTTATGCTATTTATTGCTAATAGTGCCAATTTGCTGTTAATATTTTCTTCTAATTTTTTTTAGATTTGCTTCAAGGAGAGTAAGATTTTACAAATTATCCCTTTTAACGAGTAATGCTGAATTACTATAATGATTTTAAACTTCTTGTGGAAATAGTAAAAAAAAATCCAGAATTCTTATATCTTTACATCTTAAAACTAAGAAAAATTGAAGACTGTGATAGTGTTTTATCATACCGAATCAATGAAAGTTCAGTCAAAACGTTCAAATCATGCAGCTTATTAATGAAATTCTGATACATTTTCAGGACTTTGTGCTTCAATTTTTCATCCGCTATCCCATATTTTTTCTTAACTATTATTTTTATAAGTTATTGGTTGTTTATGTTCTCATTGTGCCTGTTGTCAAAGTCATATCACTTGTTCCGAATCGCGTTTGCTTTCATAGAGAAAAGAAATATTAATTTTTTTCAAATCTTCCAAATAACATTCAGTTTTCATCAATGATTTCTGCACCACTGACACTTGTAAGCATCAAATAGATTTTACGCGCTAGCACTGGTCCAATCCTTTTACCATAGTCCATTTTCGTATCAGCTAATAATTTCATTCCTTCTTTCATCGGCATCGATCTCAATCTGTAAACTTTGGGTGAGTTTTAAGAGTTCAGGTGGTTCTAGACCAGATTTCAAGCCACTAAATCTAAGAAGCCATTTTCAGGAAAATTTTGTATGGTTCTATGAAATTGTTCTAGATGTTTTAAAATCTGACGAATTTCTAATACTGTGAAGAGGTTTTTTGTGAATTAGAAAAATAAGCGTAGAAAAAAGCCAATATATTTTATGGTGAAAAAGCTTACAATTTTGAAAGAGCATGTGGGTTTGGGAACGTCTTTACAATTGCCTGTTGTGCATCAGTCCCCATGCGATGCACTTGGCTTAACATTTTCATCCACCAATCAGATATGATGGCTGAGTCATCACCCTGCAAATTATAAACCTAAATAAAGAAATGGATTTCAATTCTCGGTGAAATCCGCTCATGTTTTTTTGTTGTTAATCATATTACTCTATAATTGTGTGCTTAAAATCAATTTTTTAACAATTCTAAGGTATATAAAGAGGTATTTGAAAGAGTGGCCGTGAATATAAGCGTAGAGAGAAAAACTGGCTATCCAAATTCGTTCATCTAAAATTACCATACTTTAATAAATAATCTTAATGAGTGTTATCAATCTTGATAAAAAGGAAAAAATCGAAATTTGTAGACATTTTGCCTGTAATAAGAATACATATATAGTAAAATGAGTGGAAATAAAATTAGCAAGAAATTACATCATACTTCCGTAATGCCCTTCTCGATATTTACAATCGGCAAAGTTTGTTCTTCCAAACAGCTTTCATTTCGTGCAATGGATCGATGCATTTGAGCAATAAGCATAACATATTCTTGTGTCGTTACAGTAAAGCGAGTTTGAACTCGAAAACGTTCAAAGATTTCCAAAACAAAATCTGCCACCTGAAGAGTTGTTGAAATTTATCATCAAAGACAGGTTTTCATCCGTCAATATATTTTCGCATAATTTGACTTGTTATTCTATATTAGCCTAGAACTTCCGTAACTAGTCAAACTAACAAAATTTTTCAAACTTTCTCATTAAATTAACATACTTTTTCTTTTCGCAATTTCAACAAGCCATGAACAACAAGGGTAAGTTTTGGTGATGGAAATGGATATTTTTTAATGCACTCTTCTATGAACTCTGCAATTTCTTCCGTTGATTTGAATTGACCGTAGCGCTGCGCATTCATTGACAAAATGCAGAATTGCTCGTATATCTGCAACATTTATTGCAAGAAATTATTAAATATTAAAGTTAAGAAAAACTGTAATTAATGCCACCAATGAAATTAGAGTTGCATGGTTTGTAGTAGTGACAAGTAGAACGAAATATTCAGCTTTTGAAAGAGTTGTAAACAAAGACGAATGTTCAACGACAGATATCATATAATAAAACCTAGAAATGTCCTCCAAAATCAGCGCTGATATGGAATCTGAATACATGGTACAGCGGGAAACTGATTCTAAAAGAAAGTTGCGATGTCAACTACTAAACCAATTAGATTACTTTAATCTGTCTGTTGCTTGCTGCTTATATTTCTGATTTTCTAGTCGACGAAAATATCCCTTAACTGCATGAAGCTTCCAGAATATATTTATCCTTTGATACTGCCATTGGATATTTTCAGTAATTTAACGGAAAGAACTTGACATAATATCTTCTTTCTCACTGAGGAGAAATGAGAAAGAAATCGATATGAGCAGGCATAAATGGAATTCGAAATGAATTAAGCAATGACGAACCAACTTCTCACCACGAATAAATTCGTTATTTTCCATTTTTCCCTCCAAAATTCTTCTTTTCCAGCAAATTGTCATGCCACTGTCATCGAAAAGAAGTTGATCACGAATGCCGCGATCTGTGAATACTTTTGTAATCAATTCATCTAATTCATCTGCAACAAAAGTCGAAATCCTTGATAATCGTAATTATATAAGCATCGCAATCTCAATTAACATAAAAATACTTTTTCACCATAGTAGCAATTTCTCAAGACAAATTTTATAAGAAAATTGATAAACGATAAGACTAGAGATTATCAAAGCTTGACTTACTACGACTTCCTATTTTTCCCTGAATAGTCTGCCATTATAACAGCATATGATAATCTTTTTTTAAGTAGTAGAATATGTCGTAGTGCAACCAGATGTAAAATGAAGTTGAATGTCATTTAATTGTAACATTTCTCGTACAATGTTGCTAGCTGACAACATACTTATTGCAGCAATTAAATCCAGACTGACAATGCAGAACAGGTTCTGTTCACATTTCGATTTCTTCGCTGCAGATACTTCTCGTTCAAATTTGGCTAACTGTTTCTCGAGCTCAGTTTGCTTCTGAAAAGTAAAACATATTTCCACATCGGACTGTCGAATTTTTACAGACAGATCTCCAGTAATAGCTGTTCTGCGAATAGTCTACTCGCCATTTTAAAAATGAAAAAAAGTTGCTTAGAATATCGGAAAATACAGAATGTCTTATTAAATTGTGACAAGTTTAACTTTCAAATACATTATAACAAATACTGAATATGAGAAAAATACAAGCAATATTCTGACATTTGTTCGTAGAGCCAAAGCTGAATTAACCTTTTTTGCTATCCTTTCTTGTTTCTTTTTTTCTCTAGCTTCCTCTTTTGTAGCCTGAATTATTCAAAACAGGTTAACAGTAGGCTATTCGGCTCGAAGTAAGTTAATATATAATATATGTATTGAGTAAATAATATATGCGCTGAGCACATAATATATACAATGAGTATATAATATATGCAATGAGAAAGTATATATATACTGAGTTATACCATCCAAATATAGACTTAATACAAGCTCCAGCATAATCATTCTCAAATATCTTACATCTCCAAAGTTGTAAATATATCTATTTTCTGGTACTATGCTAATTGAGAAGTGATGTGAGGTTTTTGCAATTTTATTTATAAATGATTTTATACTAGTGTGAAAATATTTCAGAAAAAATACTGCTCAAAACTTCAAGTTATTAGAAAAATACGTCAGATATGAGCAAGCATATCCTACTAATAACGATTATTAAGTTCATTAATTATGATTAGAAATAATTATAAAGCGTGACCATGATTGAAAATTACGAAATGTAACCTGCTCAGTGCTTATTTCGTCTTTTGTTCTCTTTCTTCTCTTTTTGTCCACACATGCACCATCTGAAACGGAGCGTACTATGCATATCGATGGGGCTCTCTTATCATGAGAAGTTGAAGGTATTACAAGTTCGTTAGTGGTTAGCTCAGTTTCTTTGAGTATTGCCGACGATTGCACAGGTTGTGAGAACGATTCATGGCTGTACCAGTTTGCGAAATCCCCGCATTCAGGTATTTCATCTAATCTGCATCTGGCCCTTTGATGAGAGTCAGTAGACCCATCGTCAGAAGAAACATCATCCAGAAACGCTGCATCATTCAATTCTAAGAGTGCTCGGCTGTGAATATCATCATCAAGAATTCCCGAACTAGATGACACCGGCTCTCCTTCAGCTTCTTTCTCAGCTCGAATACAGCATTCGGAAATTTCCTTGACAATATCTGAAGAAAAGCATATTATTCTTCGTTTAGGAAAACAAGGATGCAAGTAGGCTAAATAGATTGAAAGAAAAACTTTCCTTTAAGCGAAGAATAATATGAATGGATGAAGAAAAAATAGGATATCTGGTGAAATAAAAAATCAAATGTCTACAGCAATTCTAGCTATTAGTTACTAGTGGCACTAGACATCTATGAATAACGGAAAAATAGCGCAGACAGAGTAAACAATCTGAGCAACATGCAATATAATGACCAAAATGTCCAGAAATCCAGGATAAATAATGAAAGAGGTTTAGCACGATGTTCATCCAAGCGATCAAAACAAATTAGCAAAACCCGACATGATTGGTCACTCGAAAAAACTGGCCATTAGTTATTCACATTTTAAATTCATACCAATGAGATAAATACAAATCCAGTCTACTTTATTCCTGCGTATATAAAAATAAATGAAAACTGCAAAACAATCAAAATAATACTAACCGTTGTTTGGTACAGCGGAAGAGCTTGGTTGTCCGAACTCGATTCCATCCTCATCCTCACTTAATACTATTACACTTTCATCCATGCCTTAACCAATATGATTAATTCAATTATTTATGTATAAGATTAAAATGTGCATTTAGGCGTAGGTTAACAAAAGAGAGAGAGAGAGGTTACGACGATGCGATGGAGAGCTGAGTAATGTATATTTACACGTATGCTAATTTAATAGAGACAGAAGGTGACAGAAAGAAGTTAATTCTAAGTAACGTAAATAATGCTCTAAATAACGTATATCTAAATGTACCTAACAAAACAGAGAAAGATTATTAATTAATGGAATGTCCGACGATTTACGTATATGAATAACATTTACGCATATCAATAACAAACCAACCGTTACTAACGTGTACCTAAGCGTACGCCAATATAAAAGCAAGAATAGAAGGAAGAAGAGATAGAGAGGGAGAGAAAAGGTAAGAAAGAAGGAAAATTATTCATAACTTGTTCTCGGACATATTCATAAAAGGAATGCAATTGTATTGCTGTTGCAGCACTATTTACATTGCTTACACTTTAGTGTTTACACCTTTGATGTAATTTAATTTAATTTAATTTGACGTAATTTAATTAGGTGTAATTTGATCTGATTTGATTTGACTTAATTTAATTTAATCTAATTTAATTTAATTTGCTTAATTAAACTAATCGAATTAAATTTAATTCGATTTAGTTTAATTCAAATTTATTACAGTCATTCATCTTTTTTAATGCATTTTCTTAATGATATGATTCGGAAAAAAGAATACTTTAAAAATATATGAAAAAGTACTTCACGAAATTTCTAATATTGAAACATTTGGAATTTTGATATTTTATTTTGTTATCATTCCTGAAAATAATTCAGTCAGTGGTACTACTAATATTGCATACAATATAAATTCGTAAACAAGGATTGAGTATAAATTAATTATTTCTAATTACTGATTTTTTTTTGGCAAGGATATTTCTTACTGATAACGATAATTGATAATTGTTGGAATAAGAGCATATCTTTCGGAAAGTTCAATAAAATGTGTTTTTCGATTCATTCCGGAATGGGATTGATGAATAAAGAGTGGAATCTGAAATAGATGGAATGAATAAATTACGTTTTTATACAATGGAATCAATAAATTGCGTTTTTCGATTCATTCCGAATAAGATGGATGGATAAAAAATAGAATCTGAAAGCGATATTATAATAAAATATGTTAATTATTTGATGTTAATTATTTGTAAAGGAGATTGAACCAATATGTCGAATTCCGAAATGATAGGCTAAACTAAAAGGAAATAATATTGTGGCTAACCTCTCAATTCAGAAATGATTAAATCTGTTTCATTTTATCAGTTAATTAAACAATCAGTCATAGTTTAGCATCACTCTTCAACTCTAATAATTTCACAGCCAATATGATAAATCTGTAAATCATTTAATTCCATAATTAAATTATTTAATTAATCAATCTGTAAGTTTGATCAATTTAAATCTATCTCTCATTCATTTTCATATCATTCCATTGCATAACATGTAAATAACTGAATCATTTTTGGAAGGTATATTTAAGATGAATTAAAACAAAAGATTAACAAAATTGAATTTTAACGATGAAATTTACAAATTTATAATTTCTACATGTAAATAATGGATGTTATATTTCTCCAGCATAAAAGCAATTGTTTGATATATAAATATTCATTGTTCAATCATTATTTTTCATCATTCATACGAAAGGTTTATGATTAAAATTAAATGATAGGAATGATTTATTTAAAATGGATTAATTGAAAGAGTAAATTTTAACATTTCAAAAATTACTTTAATTAATTAATTAAAATAATTGCATAATATCCTCTTTTTATTTTCCTATTATTTATTTATAATTTAAAATTTATTTTTCAATTTAATTAACTCTCCTCTTTTGCTATAATTTACAGAAATTTTAGGGCAAAAAAAACTTAGCTATTAATTTATACCATAAATTAATAATGTATATATATATATGTGTGTGTGCGCAAAAGTCCAAAATTGATTTTAGATGTATTGGCGTCAAAAGCGACATCTCACATCTTCACATGTAATTATTGGACGAGCTGATTGGAAAACATCAAATTATGTGTCAACAACAAAATATAATGTTTTCACATTCTTACCTATATTTTTATTCTATCAATTCAAAACATTTGGAAATTTATTCTTTCTTATGATTTGTATTGTACAGGTTGGTAGAACTATTATCTTATCTTATCTTTAATGATAATCTTATTGCTATTATCATTTCTATATTTGTTTCTAATTAATTAATTTGTCAATATTTCTACAATTGAAAGAAAGAGTTTAAAAAAGAAAAGATGCTACATAATTATTCATTTATTTAATTTTTCCGAATTATTCATATATTTAATGTTTATTTATTTGTTAGTTAATTTAATTGTTCAAATATGATAAGTAATGATAAATTGATAAATGATTGTTTCAAATTTATCGAACAATAAGCTCATTAAAAATTCATTCTCATTTGATAAGCAATTATGTAAAATATTTTTATCACTTAGAACAATACAAATATTGAATAAAATTTATTGATACAATAAAAATTGAATGATTTTGTTATTTTTAATCAATTTCATTCATAATAATTGTACAATGTAAATTCCCTACTGTTGTAGCAATTAATTAATTCATTTTTGTTTTTTTATTTTAAAACAATTGTAGTAATAATATTAAATTGCTATTTTGCATTATTTCTTCCTTATCAAATTTTAGTTCTTTCCAAGTTTAAATCCATACGGTACAAATACAACGATTATACCACTTGTTATTATCATTCTAGCAGCTGCAGCTAAAGAAATTTTCGAAGATTTTGTAAGATTATTTTTATCATTTCCTTTTTCATTTCCTATTCAATTATCATTTCCTTTTTCATTTCCTATTCAATTAAAGTTAATTTCATTAATACATTTATTATAATTTCATTTTCCATTGCTAATTTCATTAACATTTTAGGCGGCGAATTTATCAAAATATAAGAATTACTTCATTTCTTTTTACTTTTCTTCATTATTTCATTCTTCATTTCTTTTTTCAAAAATTATTGTTCTTTTTAATTAATGTAATTAAAATTCATTTTGCTAATTTTGAATATATATTTTTTTAAAATAATTATTTCAAATTTTTTAATTAATTTGAAGAGACGTTTAATGGCAGATCGTCGTGTTAATCGACGATTTGTGCTAATTTGTAAGGAAGATGAGAAAACGAAAAATTGGAAATGGGAAAGAATTCATTGGGCTAAGGTTTTTACTGACAGTTATTTTATTTGTAAAAGATTCTTTTTTTTTTCAATAGATTTAAAAATTATTGATTTTTTAAATTTTAAAACAATGAGAATTGTTAATTGTTATCGTCAAATTATTTCTTTATGTCAAATATTTGAAAACACATTTTTTGAATTTTATATATAATATAACAAATTTCTATTGCATTAAAAATAATTTGAAATTTCCTTTAGTTTCACCAAAAGAAATACATCGGGAATTAATTCATATCTCTAGCAAAATAATCAATAATATATGCTTTTCAATTGCTCAAATTATTCAAATAATATTTTAGTTAAAAGTTGGACAAGTTGTGAAAATTATGAAAAATGAAACTATCCCGGCAGATATTGTACTAATTTCATCAAGTGAACCAGCTGGTATGGCATATATTGAAACAAGTAATTTGGATGGTGAAACAAATCTTAAAATTCGTCAAGCGTTACCAAAAACTGCTGGGATAATTGATGATAACAAAGTTATAGTAGGTTTTATTAGGATGGCAACTTTATATCAAATTTTAGAATCAATTTTAAATTTTTCATTAATGATAAGCTTTCATGAGTGGAAAGTTTTAATTTGAATTAATGAACTAATGAATTAATGAATTAGTAAAATTAGTTCAAATAAAATAGAAATCAAAGAAAAACGAAAGTACAAATGTAGTGATAATACAACAATATGAATGATACAAATTCTCAATATCACTCATATTGTCGTATCATCATTACATTTGTAATATTCTTATCACTATATGTTATCATTATGATATTACATTTATCAGATTATATTCTTATTTTTGAAGTTAAACTAATTAAAATAATTTTAATAGATTTTAAATATTTTCAAGCTATATATTTCACATATCTCTCATTTCTCCTTTCCCAATTTCTATCACATAAGCGTATCACTTTTGTGATAATTAAATTTTTCAAACGTAAAATTGATTTATTTAATTGAACTTAATTTTTCTAATCAAAAAAAGTAAATGACAAATTTTTCCACTGCAGGCACTATGTTCATCATTATGGAAGATGGAATGTGATCCGCCGAGTCCAGCATTATACGAATTTCATGGTGTTATCAAAATTAGCAATTCACTTGAAATGTTGAGAAAGGAAAGTGATGAAGATCTTAAAACAGATTATTCCCTTGGTTTGTTATTTTATCGCTAATTAGTTAAATGATGATAATTCATTTGTTGAAATAGTACAATTAATTAGCTGAAGAAATTAAAGTTAAAAAAATAGTTAAATAAATTATCATCATGAGAAGAAATTAATATAATTAAAAACTAAATAGGATAAAACTTCTTGGAGAAGAAAATGTTTGATATATCTTATAGTATTTGAATGTATTCCTTCAATTGTTTAAAAAGTTAAACTGTAAGAAAAAGTTTTTTTCTCACACGAAATTTTTTCCATGTAATTTTTGTAGCTAATTTTTTTGAAATATTTGCTCATTATTTAACCTTTGAACTTATATGCTATTTATCTTAACTGTTGTGTCAACGTATAAATAGCAATGTAGAAATAACATGCCTTAATGTTTAAATATGCAATTATTTCAAACATAATTAATTAATTTTTGATGATAAAATTTTGCAGGAACAAATCAGCTACTACCACGAGGATGTAAATTGCAAAATACCGATTGGGTTTATGGTGTTGCGGTATATGTTGGTCGATGTACAAAGCTTGTGCTGAATACAAGCGGTACTCGTACTAAAGTGTAAGCTTATTTATTTTTAATTTTATAACTTAAAACTATGAAATATTTTATGATGGGATAATTTTTGATGAAAATAAATGATTAAGCATAAATTTAAAAAAATCTTACTTAATATGCGATCAAATCTCGGAATTATTTCATCCCATAATACTATGATATACGATCATAGGATAATTTAAATTATTTCCTTATTCATCTTTTCTAAAAATGTTTACCAACTTCTTCATTGTCATTTAAAAAGCTGTCACTTTCAATTATTCAATTCATTATCATTATCAAGTTTTTATGTAAAATTATACATGGCAAAATTTTAAAATAAAAGATAAACAGTGGGCAATAATTATTAACTACCGTGCAGCATTAACTAATTATATTAAATGAGTTAAAATTACTACGCAAATTTTAATCAGCACAAAAACAAAAGATTGAAACTTTATTTTAAAACATATTTCATCCGCCTTTTTGTTTCTTTTCTTATGAGATAATTTCAAATGTTCAATCAGTTATTTCAACACTGTTGAAAACTTACTGTTACTCATAAAATTATTAGTAAAAAAAAAATCTTTATTTTCCTTATGATATGATGAAATTGTTGATCTTATTGATTGATTGTTTTTTCTTTTCCGATCAATTTTATTATCAAGATTGAAACTTTGTTTTAAAACATATTTCAAACATTTTTCAAACGCAGATGAAAAATAGAATTTCTATTTTCAACCAATTATACATCTTATCATTACATTCGTATCATTTCAAATTTGATCATTGATCGATGAAAATAAAAACATTCATCGGTTAACTAATCTAAATATTGTTATGTGTGGCAAAATATTTCTGTTCAGAAGAAGTAGGCATAAATTTAAACAGAAATATTTAACCAAAGTCTATTTCAAAAGCTATATTTGCTAATTCTTCTATTAACTACAGATATGCATTTATCATCAATTCAATTCAAAAGTTCAAATTTAAATTTGAATTAAATTTTATTGCAAATTTTGAAGATCATTGGTGGAACGAATTACCAATTGTATGATGATGATTCAGTTCGGATTTTTAGTATTCATGGCTTTATTTAATGCATGCATGGGTTCTAATAGTATCAGTAGGGTTTATTATTATCTGCCATATTTTCATGGTAATTTCTTCTTCATTGATGAAACTTTTATAAGAATTTAGATTTTAATTTAATGTTTAAATTTAAATTCTGATGAGAGGAAGGAAGCGGAAAAAAGAAATTAAAATATTGTTGTTGTTGATGATATTATAAACTATTTGATATTTGTTCGATATTTTATTGGAGCAAATATCAAATTTATAATTTAATGATTGAACTTAAATTTAAGTTTGATAAAGCTTAATTATTTTTAATAAAGTGACGCAATACTCTTTATTTTTAGATATACGATACTATTTATTATTTTTAGATAATTTTCATCGCTTACACATTTTTCCAACACTTATCGGCTTAATAATATTTTATTCTGGTCTAATACCGATCAGTTTGAATATTACGCTTGAAATGATTCAATTATTCCAAGCATATTTTATTCAACAAGTTTGTATTATCATAAAAGTTTACGGATAAAAAGTGAAATAAAAACAGAATTGAAAGAATGATTATTGCAGTGATCACTTTTAGGATTTAAATCTTTACGATGAGAATACTGATACAAGAACTGAAGTACGAAGTTCAAATTTGAATTCACAACTTGGACAAGTTTGTTTCTTTTTAGCAAAAAAGATAATTGCTATTTTAATGCAATATCCTTATAGTATCTTATTACTATTTACAGCAGTAAAGTATTTTAAGCTTTTCTATTTCTTCATTTGTTGAATCATTATATAGGTTCGTTATATTATCAGTGATAAGACGGGTACATTAACTCAAAATAAGATGTGTTTTAAAATGTGCACCATTGGTGGTATACAATATGGTTCAATGAAAACGAAAAAATTCACTGATAAAAAAATTCTCAACGATTTAACAAATAATGCTGTCAGTAATTTTCAACGCTGTTCTTTTTAATTTTCACCTGAAATAATTTTTATTATTTAATTGTTTTTCAATTCCTTTAATCTAAAATATAAATTATCTTTTTAATTAAAAAAGTTTATTTAAATATCCTAATTAAATTTCAAAACAATTAATTTTGCTCAATTATTAATTTAAGAATTGATCATTTTTGTAATTTAAAAACTATTAAATTATTTCATATAAATTATTTAAATTATTAAATGAATTAATTATTTCATTTAAAAAAGAAAATTGCACGTGAAAGTTTTAGATATTTTCATTGAAGTAATATTTTTTGGAAATTTAAATTATTTGAAAAAATTTAAATTATTTCCTTTAAAGGCTAATGCTAATGATATACGTGAATTTTTAACATTACTAGCAATTTGTCATATGGTTGTTCCCGAGAAAACTGTAAATTCGGGATTACAAAAATTGATTTACCATTCATCATCACCAGGTATTAATTATATTTTAATTGATTTCATTATTTTTGTAATTTAATTTTTATTAAAATTCAATCATTTGGTTTTTTTTTTATCAAATTTTTGCTATTGCTAAAAATTTTTTACTTTTAATTTAACGACGGGATAATCTTGAATTATTGATTATATCATCCAATTAAAAGAAATTGTTTCACAATAATGAAATTATCGAATTTTATCATTCGATCTTTTCCTAATAAAAATATGATAAATGAAACGATTTGAATTTTTTTAAGTGGCAAATTTAGAAAGGAAAGATTTTGAACTTTCAAATAATTTCATAATAAACTTTTAGATGAGAAAGCATTGGTTAAAGGTGCAAGAGATTTGAAATTTATCTTCCATACACGAACACCACAAAGTGTTTTTATTGAAGCTGTAAATAATGCTTTTTTTTATTATTCCTTGAAAATTTAATTTAAATAATTGCTACCAACCAACCGATCATGCAAAATTTATGAAGAATTTTATTAAAATTTTTATAGATGGGTAAGCAAGAGAAGTATGATATATTGAATGTATTAGAATTTACCAATAATCGAAAACGTATGGGTGTTATTGTACGATGTCCAGATAAGAAATTAAGATTATATATTAAAGGAGCGGTAAGTTTAATTAAAAAGCGACATTGTTTTTAATATTCGTTTATTCGATTATATTTACATTTCATTTCCGGATAATGATTAAATTTCAGGATAGCGTTATTTTTCCACGATTAACATTAAATTCAAAAAAATTCCTGATTAGTCGGACAATGAAACATTTGGTGAATTTTGCAAATCTTGGTTTGTTTGTTTTTCAGAAATGATTTTCATTCATATAATTTTTGACATTTAATTAAAATTTGCTTGCACTAATTTAAGTTTCAAATTTAGTTAGGTTTTTAAAAAGTTGAAATTTAGGTTTACGTACATTATGCATGGCAATGTGCATCCTAAAGGAGGAAGAGTATAAGAAATGGGAACCTGGTTATCATCGGGCAACTGTTGCACTCAAAGGTCGTGAAAAGTTAATCGAAATGGAAGCAGAAAAAATTGAAAAGGTGAAATATTCTATCTCTATGATAAAGTAATTTTAAATTTTGAATAATTCAATTCAATCATTTGAATTTGATTTGAAATTTGAAATGATTAACAAATTTCATTTTTACCTGAAATATTTGATGAATTGCAGAATCTCGAATTGCTTGGTGCATCGGCTATTGAAGATAAGTTACAGGAGGTAAGGGAGAATGTAAAAATGTTTAAAAAAACTTTGATGTCGAATTCAACTTTTTAAATTTAAAAGTGATGATTTAAGTCAAAGTTTGAATTTTCTAAACCTGCAAGAGTTATTAATTAATTTTAATTTTTCTTTTGTTTTATTTTGTTCTAACTACATTTATAAAAATGCATCAAAACTTCACGAAGTCAGTTGATAATTTGTAGGTTTGGAATGCATTGATCAGAAAAGATAGTAATTAGAAAAGGCCTTTAATGAAATATTAGAAGCCTCAATTGCTCATATCCTCGGGAATATCGAGAATCGATATTTTGGATGATAGTAACGGGATGCTATCTATCATTGTGATGATAGTAGCGGGATGCTATCTATCATCGTAATAATAGTAATGGGATGTTACAGGGAGTAAAGGCAACTATCAAACATTTGATTGAAGGCGGTATCATAGTTTGGGTATTAACAGGTGATAAATTGGAAACTGCACAAAGCATCGGTTATTCATGTGGTCTGATCGATCCATTCACGCCTATTTTGGTTCATTTCAAATTATTCAATTTTATTTAAATTTATTCGTCTCAAATTTTCACTTAATTTTAAACAAATTTAATGAGTAAAATTTTAATTTATCAATTCAGAAATTAATTAAATGAAAGTTATTTTCAGTTATAATTTTTTACTAAAAAATTTTCATCATAATTTTATATTCTTATTAGAATACTTTTTTCTAACAAAATTATTATTTAATTACTTACCGCAAAAAACAAAACAATTCAATTCCATTATTTAGATACTTGGAGAGAAAAATGCCGAAAAAACAGCTGATAAAATTAATATATTTCTTGATAAATTTGCAAACAAAAATATTAAGATTTCATTAATTGTTAGTGGCGAGGTTTGTTGCATTTTATGTATTATAGTTTATACTGAAAGATACGGAAAAAGTTTATACTAAAAATGAAGATTAGGAACAAAGTAAAAAATGTTGAAATTGAAGAAATCTGCTTTTCAACAAACTGGAAATTTTTTCAATTTAAAATTGCAGAAAATTTTCTTTACGAATTTTGCATTTCCCAATATTAAATCTATTGATTGTCCAGCTAGTCTATTTACTTCAAGACTCTTGGCTATGTCTTAAAGGTTGCAGAGTCTTGATCATGCTTTGAAGATGCAATATAAAATGCAATTTCTTCATTTGGCTTCATTATCCTCAACCTTAATATGCTGTCGATGTTCACCGGCACAAAAAGCTGCTGTTGTAAAATTACTCAAAAATTGGTCTGATGGTACTGTACTAGCAATTGGTGATGGTGCTAATGATGTAGCAATGATACAGGTAAAATTGAAATAATAATTAAAGTTGCAAAATATAAAAATAGGTTTATAAAATTCTGAAAATTGATCAATAAAAGTTAATAATTTATAATTAAACATAAATATATAATAGAAAATTATCTAAAAGTTCATAAAAAGTTTCATGCTTAATCTCCCTTACCTGATAGTTTGTAATTTGGCAGGAAGCTGATATTGGTGTTGGAATAAGCGGTGAAGAAGGTTTGCGAGCATCACTTGCAGCTGATTACTCAATAGCACAGGTATATCGTATCATGATTAATTATCTTAATCATTACCGTTGAATTATGATAATAATAATATTTAAAAAAAATATATTATAAAAATTCCGTTCATAGATTTTAGAAAAAAGAAGATATTAATTTATGTTTTTAAAAATTTAAACTGATCCTAAATATGTCCAATAATTTTAGCAACATTTAAAATATTAGGAATAAAGTTTAAATTAAAATTAAAATGAATTTTACATCGTAAATTTTACATACATTTATAGTTTCGATTCTTAGAACGTCTTATATTCATTCATGGAGCAATCAATTATCATCGTATCACGAAAACTATTTTATATTTCTTTTACAAAAATATTGTTCAAACTCTGACTATGGTAGGCTGTCACTTTAATCTGTCTACAAGAAATTCTAATCTAATTAATTCATTCTTTTCATTTTTGCATAATAAATAAGTAAATAGAATTATTTTTTAGAAGTAGTAAATAATTTATTAAATTTTACAGTTCTTTTATGAATTCCATACATTGTTTGCCGATTCGTCAATAATGGATAATTGGTCGCTGGTAATGTTTAATATATTTTTCACTAGTTGGTCACCTTTGGCCATTGGTATTTGGGATCGGTTGCTTCCATTTAAGGTGATGATCGATTATCCAGCTCTTTATCATTTATCACAAAGTAGTGAAGGATTCTCGCTAAAAGTATAATTCAATTTTTTTTCTGCAAAAATATTTTTAGAATTTCGATTTTCAACATTTCACTCTTACAGTACTTTTAATGGACAGCTTTGTTGAAATTATTCCTAATTACTTAAATTTAAATACTTGAAAAATGTATTTGAAGTTATTTACATATATCAGTATTCATTAAGGCTTATTTTATATGGATGTTTACTGGTTTGGTGCATGCAACAGTAATTTCCATAATTGCATATCAGATATTTGAAAACGGTAAAAATCGAAAAGTTATTTATTAAAGCTTTTCCAATTCATTTCTGTACTTGTTGTCCTATACGACTTAAAAGCTTATTTACTTGTAATTAATAGTTTTATAATAAAAATTTACCATAGATATCCTATGATGCAATGGTCGTGTGGCAAATTACTACTTTACGACTTAAAAGCTTATTTACTTATAATTAATAATTTTATAATAATATCTTTAATAAATAAAAATTTATCATAGATATCCTATGGTACAATGGTCGTGTGGCAAATTACTACGTTATGGGAACTGTCATTAACATTGTATTTTTAGAAAAAATTTATCAATGATAAATTCTATGATAATATCTATGATCAATTAAACAAAATATATTCTTTTTAATGATTTTAAAAGAAATGATTAATGATTTCTCCCATTAATTCAATTTAATTACATAACTAATTAATTTAAATTTAACTAATCGTAATTTTTTAATTCTTTAATGAATTAATTTTTTATCATCAAATATTACAATGATTATCAAAGATGCTCGAAAATAAAATTTGAATTTCTAGGCTGTTGTAGTTGTTGTCAATTTAAAAGCGATTATAGAGACCGATTCTATTACCATTGTAAATTTCTATTTTTTTATAATTACTTCATTTAATTTCAATTGTTCTTGAAAATCTTTATATTATTAGAAAACGATTTTATTACTTTAATTTAGAATTTAAAAATTAAATTCTAAGGAAAAAATTTTGCAGAAAATTTAAAATTTAATAATTGATAATTAATTTTTGCATAATTTTTTAATTGCTAATTAAACAACTTTAAAACTTAATGATTTTCTAAAGAATTTATCATTATCGATAAATTTTACTTCACTAATTTCATCGATCATTTTCAGATGTCTTGGATAGCACTATTTGGTTCCATTATTATGCTATTTATATTCTTTTTTTCGTACAGTTTAACATCACCTGCTAGTCCAATTATCAAAGTTGAGCCAGCTATGGCCGATACAATAATTCATGTGTTAACTTCACCTATCGCACTTACATATATTATATTTGTCGTACCTGTATCACTATCATTCGATTTGCTAATTAAATTGTATGTTTTCAAAAATCCAATTAATTAATTTCAACATGCATTTAATCATGCAAACTTGTCAAGCTTTTATTTATTAATTCTTCGGCCAATCCTTTTTCTTAATTTTTATCCATAAATTACACACCTGTTGAAAATAATTAAGTTTTATTATTGAAGCTTTAAGAAAAGAAAAAATAATCAGATTATTTATTATATGTTATAGTAATGAATATTATACGTTATAGTAATAGATATCGATAAAAATTAAGAAATTTGCAAAAAAAAGAGTAGAAAAATTACGGTAGAAAACCGTAATTTGCTAATATATCAAGGAAGTTTTATAAACTAAATTTCATTTCTATAAGACAATGAAATTCTTTTTTCAATAAAATTTTGAAAAAAAAAGATAGAAATAATTCAGATTACAACGATCATTGTATCGAACGATTCGTGATGAAGTTGTTTCACGAGAATTTGATGTAAAACAATTCAATGATCTTTATTATCCACTTGTTAAAGTAAAACAAATTGTTACTAAAGCATCTGAATCAGCTCTTAGCCTTGTAAATATACAAACTAAACAACGTTAGCTGTTTTATTTCTTCATTCGTTATTGTTGAAAGTTTTAGGATTTAAGAGAAAATATTTTTTAGCTTTTCATAGAAAGCTTTTTTTCCATTCAATTTATTAATTATATATTTTAATATTTGATTAATTTTATTTATGATATAAATTTTATATTTTAATATTAATTTTAATTTAAACATTTATTAGTTTGAATTATTTATGAAACTTTTGATTTTCATTTTTATTTTTTGATTAATGTTATTTCAAAAATTTAAATTTATAAATTTATTGATAGTTGTAAATATTTCTAAAGAGCAATTTTCTTTCTATGTTAATTGCTATTTGAAAAAATTAAGATAACTTTATGGTTTGTGAAATTGGAAACTATTGACTTCCTAATTAAATAATTAATTTAAAGATGTTTTTTTTTTCATTTTCTAGGTGGTTATTCATTCTCACAAGATAAAGAACCAGCTGTACCGCAAAGTGATGTTGTACGATTGTATGATTCTCGAATGCCAAAAATATCCACAATCTGATCGAAGATACGATATGCAGAAAAAAAAATGATCTGATTTAATTTAAATTCAAATTTAAAATCTGTAAAATTTTAACAATGAATTCTCTTAAAAAGTTTCCAATCATATACTTTGTATTTATTAATTATCAACAAAAATATTTAACATATTACTCACAATCTAACGATGAATTTATTCATCGTTAGATACTTCCGATGTCTATTAAATGATAAGAATGTAAATATTGGTATAGATTAAACTACATGATTATCGATTTAAATTGTGGGAAGTTGTAAAAACTACAAAACAAAATGTCGGAATTTCGAGCTTTTAACAAACTTCATTTGATCTTCAAATGATATTCAAGTCTTATTATTTGCTTAATGCTTTGAAATCTTCCTCAAAACTAACGTTGGATTCGAACATATAATAGCCTGATGATTCGGTTTGACTTGGAAACCTAAATTATTAAAACCAAACTCTAAGTTGCTGAATTCAATACTAATTTAACTTAAGTCTAAGCTTACCAGTTTAAATTTTAATACAGCTAAAATTTTCGTTTTCTTTCACTATTGAAATTTGGTCTTAATTTTAATGCAATTCAAAGATTAGAATGAATAATTTAAAGACTGTCATTTTTACACATTACCATTTGTGATATCACAGTTATTCAATCACATTCATCCTTAATTACTTTAAATTTTGATCTTCTAGGAAGTTTGTTTGTTTATTTTTTAATTTTGAATTTATTTGTTTTAACTAAGAGAATTATTTTTTTGTTGAAATCTCTTTTCAAAACATCAGAACATGTATTTTGTGTGATACTACAGAAAATACTAATCGATCGATGTTCTAATTAAGAGAAAAAATGATATTACAATAATTGATCGGATTATTGATTGAATTTCTCTCATTTTTTCTCTTACCTTTCTTTCTTAGAAATTATCTTTAATTCAAATGAGATTTCTGACCTAAGACAAACGTCATGTAATGCTTTTTGATAGGATAAAGAATATACAACAAGTGGAGAATTTCATTTCATCCATAATTTGCATGTATCATTTGTGTGCAGTTTCTATTACGCAATATAATACGTTTAACTTCACTTGATACATCAATTTCAGTTGCAAAATGTATACTTCATATTTTTGTGAATGGTTCCTTCCATACTCAATTGGTCATTCTGGAGAGTTGGATTACTGATTATGATGGTGCAATAATAACTCGATCAATGAGGTAATAAATTCGGAATTCTGCTTTACATACGTGCATTTCCTACACATCATACGTGCATTTCCTACACCATACGTGACCATACGTGAATTTCCTACATCATTATACCACGTACACATCAACAAATGATATGTATGTTAATATATCTCATGCAAATATTGTCAATTTAACTGTATACGTTGTAAAGTACGTACAATAGTAATAAATTGTACGCACAGATCACTTTATATCCAAAGACCAAGCATACACATAACACACGTCAACTAGTAATGTTCCACGTTTTATTAGAAAGGTAAATGGAAAGTTAGGCTGGAAACATCAAATAAGTATCCCACAGCGATCATTTGCCCTCTATATGTTTGAATTGGCTTGAATTAACGAACTTTTGAAGGATCATGAGTTGTTGATGTTTTCTATGTAAGTTGGGGGTTTTGCTAGTAGTTATGAAGGTGGGTGAGCGCATTTGTCGCATTTGTCCAGCGGTAATACAAAATACTGTAAGATTCCAGGCTCTAATGCAAGTTTTGAAGCTTTATTTTAAGATGAAAGTTTAACTAACTATATCAAATGTTCCGTTTGCTTCGTCTTTTTTATTTCCCTCTTATCTCCTAATGATAATTTCATTTTTAACAGTTATAACAATAATATGAATGGTAAAATATTCATTTTAATTACGATTGGAATGTGAAATTGGAATTTTTAATGGTTTAATTCTCCTTTTTAAGCAAGCAGTATCTTTTTTTTTGCTCAATTTCGGTTGCGGAATTGTCGAAAGTTCAAAGATTGAATTGTTCGATGACCGGCGAACAGTTATTGTCGTCTCATTTTAACGATGTTTCGGTACCGTCATCTATACTCGAAAAGCAGTATGTTTATTTTATGTTTACGTGTTATCTGCTAAAGTAAAATATAGCGCTATGATTTTCACTTCAGCGATCAACTGAATAGTTGTTGTCGTGAAATAAATTTTCCGCGTAGGATATCAAATATGCTTGATCGATCACTTTAGATATTTTTTGTTTATTAAAATAGATAGTTATCAGTATTAATCAAAAAAACTCGATGAAAGTGGAGCAACTTTTCTTACAGTTTTATATGCTAACTTTATTAATTACATCTGCAATGCGCATAGTAATGTAATAGCATTAATGAAATTTTAATTTGCAGTGTACTAACTGCGATAGTGAACAAAACATCAATTGCGCACAGTAATGTAATAAATAGCATTAATGAAACTTTAATTTGCAGTGTATTGACTGGATCCGATGCAGCTGTTCAATTTTCTGGTGGCACACATATTGTGCTGAACGTGGACGGACAAGAAGATAAGCGACCACGTGATCGTGACTCGTCACGTGTTTATACACGCGTCCTTAGCGAGTATAAATGGGCAAGCGAAGAATGTTACAATGGTCGAATACTGGCAGTTCATAAAAATTTAATCGCGTATCGGCTGTTTAATGAAAGTACAGGCGAAGCAGTGCGAGTCCTGGAACGCACCACTTCCAAACGTCACCTTATAAAAGTAGTATATTTAAATTGTTCGGTTTAGTGGAAAAGAAACCATCAGAAAGTTTTCGGCTAGTTCAAGGAAAATAGAGGAAGTTTCAGGAAGTGAAACAAAAGGCTAAATCATGGCATTAATTCTTTAAAAGAGTACTTTCACAGAATTGTCTGTTTATTGCAATTATTAGAGGGAGGGGGTACTTTGTACTATCGCTTTTTAGGGCACATCTACTAATTTTTGATTCATGTCGTATAAGCGGTTAAATGCAAAGCAGAATTTCATGGAAGAGATCGTGTTTGTACAAAATTTTCTAATAGCTAAAGAGACTGTTATAGCTTATCAACATAGTTACTGAGAGCAGGACGTCTTCAAAGTATATTCTCTATCAAACCGTAATACAAAAGTAGCTGCTGTTGATATTTTGAGCCTGAATAGTTAATCATTGAGCTTTTTTCAGAGTTTCAAGCATCCAACTGCCGATTTACAGTGGGCTCATCATGCACCACTACTTGCCGTTATTGATGTTAATGCCAATCTTTATGCATACCATGTTGACAAAGACTGTATCGTGTAAGTAGGATATATTTGAAAAATGGAAAAAAATTTTGGAAAACAACTTAAGATTTTATTTTCTATTTGTGCTAACTAAAGCTATTATTGTTAAAGCGTAGGATATATGTTAAATGCGGTCTTTGTGAAAGTTTTCTCTGATTATGGTTTTAACGCTGAGAAAAATGCTTTTAGGACAAAATATTTAAATATAATCCGGGAAGACAATTCTATTCCAATCAATGCTACCCCGCGAATTTCATGGTGTCCTTATATACCGGAAGCTGATGAACCACACGAAGAGATGCATATGATTGCTGTGTATTATGTGAGTTTAATTCCAGTGTTTTTGGCTAGAAATAGGCAACATATGTATACGGCTGGGTATTGATACTAGTGCTTATTTTAGTGCTGCTACTGTAATTACAGAAAGTGGTGAATTAATCGAGGTGATTTGACAGCTTATAAATCGCTTTCGTAAGCGCTTTGTTTAATGACAATTCACACGAAATCTAAGAATCAGCCAAATGATTGGACTGTCAGAGTATAAAATTTATAATAAAGGAAATCATTGTATTGAGTTGGATTATGTCATAACTCGAAAGTCATAATATCGGCAAATGAACCTTGGACAAAGAAAGATAATTATATTGTTAAGCTACGTTCATTTTTTTCTCCCGAAATTTTGATATTTAGTTTTAATTCAAAAGATTCCTGATCATATATCCATACTATCCTTTTACAAAAAATATTTTATAGCGCAATACGGTGGAATCATTTTCACTAAGCATAATCAAATCGGAATTACACTGTGAAGAAGTAACTCTGGAACAATGCGAAAAAATCAGTGATGCCGTGATGAAGCTACCGATTGAAAATCCAAATGCAGTTGGACTTTTACTTATCTCTTCACGGCAATAAATTGTTTTTTCTTTTTCGGACCTATTCATAATTTCTGATGATCTGTATTATTTAGGAGGTACAAGCAGTATGTTTGAGTCCAGATGCAACAGCTATCGCAGTGGCACTAAATTGTGGCACTGTGACATTTTTCATTATTGATGGCGAAGGCACGAAATTTGCTCATCGCTGGCAACCGGAACACGGTAGACATATTCAGGACCTCGTCTTCCTGGATAATATCACTGCATCAGACACACCGTACAACTTTTTTTTTAATAATTTTTGGCTTTTATTTGACTTTTTTACATTAGTTGATTTAACACTGGCGAAAGTGTTGTTGAAGTTATCACATTTATCGTCTTTTTACCGCGTAACTATAGCGGTCCTTTTCAGCACTTGTTCCTCTTACTATTCTGGTCATTACTGTAAGTACAAACAATACTGTTTATAAGTATGAATTGTTGCTACCTAGATATAACCCGTAGTAAAACTGTGAATTTCTAATTTTGTTAAAATTTCGTTTGACTTCAGTGAACAGTTCTGGAAATATGCTATAATTTCAACGGAAAATGGTAAACGGATCCAACTTTATGACACTGAAAACTGGCACTGTATCGCCCGTTTATTATTTGAACCATCAGATCAGTTAGGTAAATTGGCACTCAGCATACATCCAACAGCGAAATTTATATTTCTCACTGATTATGATGCTGCAGTTCGTTTCTTCTCTTTTTTAAAAAATTTTTCAATGATATTTTGAAAAATACTGATCATCTCTTTAGTTAGTATTGTTAACTATCATTTGATGTTGAGTAATATATCAGATATCAAATTTCCCGTTACCATTCACTTCATTGTTGTATAATTTCCAAGATTCTGGAAAATTTGCATTTTAAGTTGGCACGGATTCAGGTGTCTGCAGGTACTTCTGGTAGAGGAAATTATTATTGGTGAAATATTAGATTGAGCAAAATTGGAGGCATGTATTAACGAGAAATCAAATTTGGTTATTTAGATGGAATTTCATCTTTTAATAATTTCTTCTCAATTTGATTTCGATTTCATTAGAATAATTTACCTGTTGCAGAATATTTATTGCATCGAAGTTGCTTACATTATGAATACACCACGCTTTATTGCATGTACACAAATTACATTCTGTCATCCACTTGTTAACGTTGTTCCAATATCAGTCCCGCAGCAGGAGGATCTTCATCAAGGTTATTGTTTTATTAATTTTAAAATCTAAGAATAGAATAAGGAAATATAAATTCGTCACAACAGTTGAGAAAGAAAGATATCGCAGAGGGAGTGCTGGAAGTATTGGACAAATAGAAAGGCTAATTTTTAATATTGTGTCGATAGTAAATTAGATAGGTGTTCAAGAATACCTAATCTAAATCTCGTGTAAAAAGCGTTCATTTTTTCTTTAAAATTTTTTAAAATTCTGGTTTGTATTTTAGATTTTTCCTTGAGTGATGAAGAAATTTCTCCTGCTAATGTTATTGTTTCGTTTGTGGCTCTCTCTCAGCGGTCATTGCTTCACTTGGAAGTTGGCCTAGAAAAGTCCCATGTGGCGAATGGTGATGTAGGTGGTGGAGGTGGTGATGAAGATAACAACGAACAAATTATTTCTACTTTAAATGCAGATGTTGCAGATGATGGGTATCTTTTCCCATGAATCATAATATCAATTTTTTCAAAATTTCAAGTTGTAATAAATTTCCAGAACTTTATCTTAAGCTTATGGTTTTTAATGAATCACAAATAGATCAACTGAGAGGGCTATTCACCCAGTCAATCAATTATATGTTCTTTTTTTTCGTGCACTTCATGACTGGATGAAATCTCTCAATTTAAAGATTTCAAATCTTTCAGAATTTTTTAAATTTCAGAAATAATGTAGCAAATGGTGATAAAAGACAGCCAAAATTGGAAAATCTGGATCGTATGGAGGCTTTATATCGTCACTGGGAAGGTCTATGTATAAATTTGGAGAAACAATCGGAAGATTTCGAAAAACGATTACAGGAAGAAAGAGATCGAACAGATGCTCAAATACGACAATTACGTAAGTGTGACTGTTCTCAATTGGTTTATTGCTAAAATTTTTCTCCCTCAAAAGTCGATAATTCTGAGAATTTTCTCTCATTTTAGATAATTCTGTTTATTTGGTATTTTTTTTCGATATCAAGGCGTCTTATCAAGTTTGAGCTAGTCGATTTATATTTGTCGCTGTTTTAGTGATATAATTAGAAGTGAGTCATAGATGCAATAATTTTTTAAGGAAATTATTTCTGATAACTTTCCGGAAGTTAGCGGAATGAGAAAATGACAAGGATCCTCACTAATCAAGCTTTTAGCTGTAAATATCCAGGATTGGATGAATTTCATTGCCTTAATTAAAACTTCTGAAATTATTAGAAAATATTTGACTTGTATGCTATTATTGTTGCTATTGCCGTTATTATTTTTATCGCCCTTTTCGTAATATCATTATTATCATTATGATAATTTTATGATGCTCCTATGACAACATTGTTTTCACAGTGTTGTGATGAAGTTCTGATTGGAGCAAAAGAAGGGGACATGCTTCTTGCAATTAGTTCTTACAATTTTATTTTAATACTTTAATTTTTCTTTTTTGTCATGTTCTATCATGCAATGGATTGGTTTAACTTTTTTCGCTCTCTATTAGCTTGGTTTTCACTCACTCAGCCGCTTTTATCATGGTCTTTTTCGAAAAGAAAGTTAAAGCATTCACTGCATGACAGAACTGACTAGCACTCTATGCAGTTAGATACTGTAGTCCATCGTGTAATCCATTGTGTTAGATATGTTGCATGCCTTATTTCGTTTCAGTAAATATATAGACGATGGTCAGCAGTTTTTTTCCCTTCAGAAAGGAAAAATTAGATAGAAAGTGAAAGATGACGGTTTAGCTTAAAAATGAGGGTGAAGAAGGGAGAGTATTGGAAGCATCTTTAAAATAATTAAAATATTCTTCGTTGATTTGTGGACGAAAAATATTTTGAATTGTTTCGTAACTGACATCTCATAATTTTTTTTTGTTTTATTTAGGTGAAGATATCGTATCATGTGATGAGAGGCTGTTTCTGAAGCTGGAATCTTTGATCAATGAAAATAGAACATCAACGGTCGAAGCAATGCAAACCTCGCTAGATCTTAAAATAGACAGTGTTATCCAAAGCCTTCGAGCAACAACTGTCGACAATTTTAAGGTCGAATTTTACAAACTTTCTGTAAATGATTAGTTGTATTTAAATTGATAAAACACTTAGATATATACTGATAAAAGATTGGGTCCTTCGTACGGGATTCAAATAGTTGAAATTTAGGAATTTCGGCGCTTTTTTTCTCGTTCCACAAGTTTTCGAAGCCCAGAAAAAGGCTAAATAATATTTGTTTTAGCAGCAGCGAAGTATGGATCTACACATTATTCGAGAAGAACTTATTAGTAATGTACGAGAATTACTGATGGCTAGTATGATACCAATTTTACAAGATGTCTGTGTGTCGCTATTCCAACAACTTAATGAAAACTTCCGCGCCGGTTTGGAGCAGTATATGAAGCAAATGCATACACTCTGTACTAGTGCTCTAAGAACAAATCAAGCAGTCACTGGTCCATTGATGGCGAGCAATTCGTCTCCCACCGATCCATCAGCTCTTATCAACCTTATCGAGGACCAACGTATCACTGTGGCATTTGAAAAGGTTGGTTTAATTTTTTTCGTAGAAGGTGATTTTTTTTCTGGAATCAATTCTTGCAACTCTATACACTTCTCGCCCGAAATAGTTGCATATTCCTTTTATTCATTCAGCTCGATTATCCATTTTACATATGAGTTGATCAGCTTTAATGTGAACACGCGGGAAATGCGCGGCCACTTAGAATCCTCGAAATTTATTGAATGCCTAAAAATAGATTAATTTTAAAGTTCTAGAAGTCTCGTGCGCTCTTCGAAAATTCGCAACATTTTTTCAAAATTTTTCGTGTATCCAAAAATTTTTTTGCAGGCAATGATACTAAATGATTACGGAGCTCTAATGTTTGTTTGCAACAATGTTGATCCTGATATAATTGCCTCTGGCGAGCAGCCCATTCCGCAAAATGTTTTACTATGTCTGTTGAATCAACTGGCAACAAAACTGGAGGGGGAAACGGATCTTAAATTTAGGTGGGATTTGTTTTTCGGCATAAAACATCCATCATTTTATGCATGAATAATAGTCAATGCTCACTGTGCAAATAATTCCGAATGAATGTTTTGTTGTGTTTCTTCAGTAAAATTTAGTTTCTAATTATGTGCTGAACGACGAAGACCATAAGTAATAATTCTTCACAGCATTGACTTGCACGTTGGATAGATTTCTTGAAATATGATGGGGACATCAGTCATTAGCATTCTATTCAATTCATATGTTTGGTATAAGTTCAAAATTCGATTTCTTTCAATTTTATAGGTATATCGAGAATGTGTTAATGGTATTGCAAGTAAAGGATCCTACCATATCTGGTGGTTACCGCCATGTTTTAAATCGCCTACAAACGTCTTTAACAGGTAAAGCAAGGAAATTATCATTGGAATCATTTTACTAGACATAAAAAGTTAGCAAGTGTGCTTACTTAAATTTATTTTCAATTGAAAAGTAAACAAATACGCGCCAATCCATATAATGAATAGTGTGCATGGTAGTATAGGGTTCATAACTTTTAGACAGTAACTCAGGACACATGGAATGTAGTACTTCTCACAAAATTTTGGTTTGAAGCGACTCATCTCTTCTAATAAGTCTTCTTGTGCGGTTAAATAAATTGGTTTGAATTATCTGATCGAATATTTGGACAAAATGTTATGTGGCGTCTTTGTAATTTGAACTCTGAAATTTCACCAAAATAGACTTTTTTTTACCAATCCAATATGCTTTTAGCTTATATGGGAACAGATACAAGTGCAAGCTTAAAGCGACGAGCACGAATAATATCACAATTAGCAACGAACTTACTGAAGTGAATTGAAATTTGTCCAGTAGTTCGATTTGTAGCAAAAGATTTGCAAATTGAATATAAACTTGTATAAATCTTATCAGATTTTGTAATTTTTATATTGCTCTTCTCTTGAGAGAACAATGTATATCAAAGATATCACTAATGAATTATTTCTTCTTTTATTGCCTTTTTCCTGGAACCTCTTTCCGAATAAGCGTCATATTTCCGTGGGTAGAATTTGTGATTCTCTTAGATCAGCTTTATTTCTTTGTCTTAGGAATAGTGCGCGGGTTAAGGTGTTTTCGCCAAGGGTAGATCAGATAACAATACACCTGCCATTAGAATTCGCCTTGCCATTAATGTCCAAGTGATTTTGTCTCGAAAACATTTGGCATTTAAGTTTGAAGCAATTTTCTTCATCATTGAAAGGATTTTGGAGTACCAAAAACAATATTCTTGTATGTTTCATCGTATGTATAAAGGCAGGCGAAAATATGTGTACGATTTTACTACATATTCTTCATGCAAAAGAGATCCATGTGTTACATAAAAAACCAGGAAAATATCACGGAGAGAGTGCGCTTCCTGAAATATGATAGGACGTCCTATATCAATCAACCTGGCTTTCAAGAGTAAACTTATACCTTGGTTTGTAAAAAAAAGTGTGTAATCTCACTCTTGAATCGTTTGAACTGTTTGGACTGATTTACGTATATTATTACGCAAACTGATATGCTGAATTTGAGTTTGAGTACGATTGTCGCTTTATGAGATTTGTAGCGTGTGAGTCTACTATCGTACAATCGTACAATTCGTACAGCTATCGTACAATTTCGGGAAGTGTGTCGTATAATTCTTGATAGAAAAATGAAAGTCATGGAATTTGGGTATAAAAATTATGAGAAATCAATCATACGGGCATTGGTCGATCACGGAATTGAACTTTTTTACGAATCACAGCGGCAATTTGTACGACTCCTTGATTTTCTACGTCTCGTACAAGTACAAGCAACGGGTTCTGAAGTTTTATCTCTTTCCCTTCCATAATGTGATGGCCAATACGAAATAAAGCCTGTAAAAAGAAAATCTTCAGTTGCTACTTTATCTTATTTATGTTTGTTTCATTACAAGCTTTCCTTGTCAAAAGAGTTTTAAAAGCGAATGATATAAATGAAATAGTGCAAGGAATCCAATACAGTGTTAGTAATAAATCCCCCAATTTATTTGAAAAAAACCCATTACTTTCTTATTCTCCCATTTCAGGATTCCAATTCGTTGTCCCGCAAGTGTACCAGTTGAATCCAATGTCCCTTGTAACTCTATCATCGCCCATTCCGCAACGCTCTCCCTAAAATCAAACTTGTGTTTTTGAAAAACTAATTTTTCCCACTAATTTTTGTTTGCTTACTCTGTTACATCTAGATGAGACACTTGTTACTCCTTTAGCCCTCTAACTTTTTCCTTAAGTTTCATATTGATCGCAAAGGTCGTTGGTAAAGTATATGTTTTTGTCCGCCAATTCGAAGAAGTGTGTCAAACATAATTGAACTTTTAGTCGTTCAAAATACGGTATCCCACATTTAGGTCACTATGCGCAATCGTTATTGCATGCGATCCTTAAGCGTTATGAGAAATGGAACTCATATCCATACATTTCTCATATTTAAGAAAAAAATTGAACATACTCCCGCGGAATCAGCCTTATCTGCATCTTGCGTAAGTTCTTCCTAATAAAATCAAGCACGAATCAGCACTTCAACCACGAAAATATCACTGAAATGAACAGATTTCTGATTTAGGATAACAAAAGGAACGACCCACTCTCTGAGACCTTTCACTCTCTGTCAGATATCTTATGATGAAAGTTTACCAATTTAAGATTTCTTCGATAATGAATTCTGCATTTTTTTTAAAAGTAAATGAATAAGCGAAATGTTGAAAGATTTTTCTAATTTAACATTTACATTATATTCCACATATGAAAAAGTACAGTCTCCACAATACTCCGAACTTCAATAGAACCATCACAACGCTTGGTTACAAAACGTCAAGAGAATCTACCCAAGCTATATAAAACGAAATACTCCGGATTCGAAATAGTTCTCATGCTGCTAATCCTTAAATTGTTCCATCTAAATCAAAAATTGATAACCTATTCCTCATCGAATAATAATCCTTTAAGAACAAGGACATGTCTAATACTACTGTAGATTTTAATAAGGAACTGATATTGATATTGATTATTAATGAAATCAAACGATGAGGAATTTAAACGGTTTGCACCAATGCTATTTGATGTGAGATTCGATACCCAATTGGAGTAATGCATAAATTTGGATAATTTAACCATTAAATATATGAAATTCGAGTAAATTAATTTTCACTAATTTTTTCGAAGAAACTTTGCATAAATACATGAAAATTAAGTTAAACCCAGCCAGCTAAATCAACATTTTAAGATGTATTAAAACAAAATCCATTATGAATGGATTGTATTAAATTTCAAATGGAAAATTAAAACATCTTGGTCAATTTTTTGTTACAGTGATAGCTTTGTCACACGCTGAAAGAATCACAATCTTTTAGTGGATCATTCATTTTAATGAAATAATTTTCTCATATTCAAACGTATATCATAAATTTTATGATTGTTAAAGATTCTTCAAAGATAGAAAACCTGCACAAATATTGAAAAATTCCGAAATTTCATTTAATTTCGGATACAACAGCATTGGAACAAGGATCATAAAATATAGCTGTACTTAATGAGGGAAACAGACGAGATAATGAAATGAATGGATCAAATTTTTTTTACAAGTTTGAACACAGATAATAAAATCGGGAAATGAATATTATATGAAACAACTGCCTTTAGAAGATGGAATAGAAAATTAAAAACACAAAATTGAAAACATGCAATAGATACAACTTGCACTTATTTTCATTAAAGTTAATAAAAAAACTATCCTCAATTTACAACTGATGTAAATTCTTTTTATAGATCGATCAAGCAATTGGTAAATCCTCAAGCCCGAAAGAGCAAACTTTCCGCACAACCTATCAAAAATTTGAATTGAAGTTAAAGTTTTTTGTCGAAAAAAGAAAACAAAGTACAAGCACCGTACGTTGAAGCCAATAAAAACGTGACGATGGAAAAAATGCAGGAAGCTCCAAAATCGCTTTGCGTTCACATATAATTAAAATAAAGATGTCGATTTGAAATTTTAAAGAGCTCACATATCAGAGCTTCCACAGATTAAAACAAACAGAAATGCAAAAATATATATGAAAGTAGAAACATAAGAAACAACTATGCCACAAGAATGCCAAAATTCATCAAAGTTTTCGTGTTGGTAAAAATAATCCCGAAAACTTTTGTCAAGACAAAGTTATGAAGTCAAGCAGATGTTTCTTAACGTTCTGATCCACCAACGCAAGGCAATGGTGATAATCAATACCGTTTATTTTCTCATAGAACTATTATTAGCATAAAAATTAGAGAAATCGCAAATCCTAATTCCTAATATGAGCTCGTTTATCGGTTGAAAAAACAAGCCAAAGATGTCTGTCCAGACAGCTAACAATCTGTAGTGATTTAATAATATCGGCGATACCTCATTTTGATTTCCAAGGAGGACGAGAAACATCAATTTTCAAAAATTTTCAGGGATATAGAAGATTAGAATTAAAAAATTACGAGCGAGATGTTAACGGAAATAAATATAGATTTAGAAAATAAAATCTGATAAATTACAAAATATTCCAACATGAAAAGTACTGTCAAACCGGGAAGTCTTAGATGCTGAAAGTAAAATAATAATTTTCTTTTCGAGGTAACGAATTCAGTGATCAAAATATTAATAAATACGATTTCAATATATAAAGAGATGCGTTAATATTAGTTTCTGCAATTGAATACATCTATCATAATGAGTGCAAAAAGTACTGCACTATTTATTGAACCTGAAGCACCATTACTTATAAGCATCATATTGTAGTATTTTTGCAAAATCCGTATCCTAAGTTTCATAGCTCTTAAATATTTTACATGTTAAAATTATCCTTTTATCGTATGTGAAGGAAACTATCGAAGTTTTTTGAGATTCTAAGAATTTTTTAAATCTGATTTCAAAATAATCTTAGGATTATCAAATAAGAATGGTGTGAAAGTTCAAAATGAGAAAACAGTATAGGAATTCCAAACGTAATCTAAGGCAGGAAAACAATAAAATCTCATCATTAAACCGAAGTAACCCGCTACAAGCTTTACAAACTGAGATTACTAACGAAATATAAGGCATGAATTTGTTCATGCACTTCATATAGAAAAAAATAAAAACTTGAAAATGTGGAAAAAATGAAATTTTTTTTGCTGATCATTTTGCAAGTATCACGGGAGACTTTTGTTCTGAGCAACATCCTAGAATGCACTTCACTGATTCCACATACCACTTTTCTAGTAGACATTTCTGGAAAGCAAGCAGATGAATAAATTAGTGAAAGTAAAATTACAATTACCCTTCAGACATTTAATGTAGGCCGTCTTCAGATGATGGCGATGATATGTCGGCGCGATGATACGCCGATTACGGTCGTGCATTCAATTCCTGAAAAAAGCTTATAACAAAATCATCTAATTTGGTCACTGGATGGGCTGCTGATGGTTTGATATCTGATTTTCGAGGTTACAACATTCATGATTTTATCACAGTATGTCAGATAATATCCATTTCTCTAGATATATGTGGATGGGATTCTATGATACAGAAAGAGAGGAAGAAGACTACAGTTAAATTGTACTGTATTGATAAAAAGTAGACATTAAACTATTGAAAAACATCTAAGACAACCATAAAAAATTTCTACCTTTAGGTTTCTTAAGAATTTGGAGAAATTTTTAGGTAAAATTCTTTCCGATATTGAACCAGGCATCTGAATAAATAAGAAAAAAAAGACTTACAAGCATGCTTTCGCAGAAATGGTGGTCGAGGTGGGCGCATTCCCGGAGGGGGAGGTCTGAGTGAGAAAGGCTGTCGTCTTGCGAAAAAAGGTGGAGTAATCCGTGGTCTCACCGGCGGAATTGCCATAGAGGGGAATGATGAGCATGTTGCTAGTCCAGACGGTCTAAAAGGTGGTCTCACTCGCAGCCCTGCTGATAATAGTCCTGAGAGCTGTGACGATCCTGGCAATCCTCTAGGTAACCTATTTAGAGGCATTCGATTTTGGATCGGCGGAGGAACTGGGGGACGAGGTCGTACCACTGGTGTCCCTGTACGTGATGGCAATGCCGCTGAATTTGCAGATGCCTAAAAGATAACATGAATCTTTTTCTCCTTTTCCTTGCTAATGATAAATCGCTTCCTTAATTTAAGAATTGCGCAGAAGATTTAAAATTTATTAGTTTATCAATTCTTAAAAGCTGAAGTCAAGGGAGTTGCTGCAAGTAGAGTACAACATAAATCAGGAAAAGATAAATATCATCTGTTCAATATTTCCTGAAGGGAGAGGAAACTGCTACGGACAATACCGACTTTTTCAATGATGAGATCATTTATTCCTAATACGAATAGAATAAATATATGAACCTTTACCGGTTGGTCGAAAAACATCATCCGCGAAGCATTTGTAGCCTTAGAGCATGATGATGACGGCTGGTGCAATATTGTTTTTTTCGCATTTTCAGATACAGACGGACCAGGTCCATGGGACCAACGAGTATCCATATTTGCCGGTGGCCAACAAAAATCAACTTCTCGATCCCCATCGCTAGTTTCAGGTGCTGAAGCCGAATTATTTGGAACAACACTACCAGTAGCAGCGCTGTCACTACTTTGTGGAATAGACAAAGCAGAAAGTAATGTTTTAATAACATTCTGGCTGGATGGCACTGAAACTGGTTCATCGGATGATTTCGAGCTGCCAAAATTTGCCGATGCGCTATTGACAACTTCTCCAGGCAGTGGATGATCAGAATTGTAACCCGACGCTACAGCCGCACTAATTGAAACAGATTCTACTTTCATAGTACCAGATGAAAGGAAGAGCGATGAGCCCATCTCACCACCATTGAATGTTGCACTGTTTGATGTGGGTAGAGATTCTAGCGAAGTCTGCATCTGAAGAGGTGGTGGACGTGAAAAATCAGTGGAGAAAGATTTTTCATCTGGTTTTAATTGCTGATGTTGTGTGCCAAAGGTACTGGTACCTGCAGCACCATCTGAGGAGGTTCCTGGAAGATTAGGATTTTGATGTTGCTTTTGATGTTGATGATGTTGGAGAGGTGGAGAATAGTTCGTCTTTTGATACTGCGAGTGATATAGGTTTTGTGATGTTCTTAACTCAGAGAAATTACAATTGCTGCTTGCGGTTGAATAGGTGCCGGTTCCCGTCTGATGTGGTCCACAACCAAACGATGAGTTTGGCACCACCAAAGGTTTTGGAGGCTGTTGGTGTAGTTGATGTTGTAAGGAGGAAACTGTTACTGTTGTCAGCGAACCGCCTGCTGATGTGGATGCGCAGGAAGTAGTAGGTACTGAATATGGTGCTATCGAGGTCCCAGAGATATTGTAATTCGTAGCACTGGCATACGGATGCAGCACTGTTGGCGGCAGTATAACAGCTGGGTGATTATTTACTTTCACTGCCGAGCTGTTACTATTACTAACATTAACGTTCGCTGAGCTATAATGACTGTTGTGCCCAAGCGTCGCTGGTGGATAATGACTGCCAGATGCAAAAGCAACTGTGGTTGGTGGTAATTGCTGGGAAGATGAGCCTGGATACAAAGCAAATGCTGGCGTTTGATTCGTATACGGTGAAGCAGAAGCAGTGGGAGTTCCAGCAGCATGAGATAGTGTTGTGGGAATATTCTGGAATGGACTTACCATTCCTGAAATTTGAACGATTATCAAGACTGAAGAAAAAAATTAAATCTTCTGGCATTGAAAAACTAGCGCCTAACACTTGATAGTAGATGAAAAGTTGAAAATAAGAAAACAAAAGGTTCATGAGAGAAGTTGAACCTGTAGGCTGCGCTGTTGCAACTGGTGCATGTGATGCAAGATTCAAGGACGATATCGCTGGTACTGCTAGTGATGAAGTTGCAACAAGATTAGCAGCGTATGGTACACCAGCGAAAATAACAGATGCAGGGGTAGTAGATGTTTGAGGCCCGGAAACCGTAGATGAGTTGATACTTTGATCAACAGTAAGCTGATGGGGTGGAGGTGGCGGAAAATATGGATATAGCGATGGGGCATTTCCTGTGGCTGACGTACTGACAAGAACTTGAGAGGCAGCGCCAGGATGAAGCATAACCAAAGGTGGAGGTGGTGGGGGTGTTGGCAAAACGGTAGGTGCCATTACTACTGGAGTAGTAGAAAGGCCAACAGGCAAAGCTGCAACCATGTTCGGTGATGGTGGTGTCAAAGGTGCAGGTGGAGGGGGTGGTAACAAGACACCGTTCCCACTGACACTTTTATTACTTTCCAGATCCATTTCTACCGGACACATGCGCATGTCTTCTTTGGAAGCTATCTGATTTTGTCTGAAATGTGAAAAAAACAAAATGTTAACAGAAGAAAAGGAGTTTTATAAATAGAGTGTCTAAATCTTAAGGATAGAAATAGTTAGGTAAAGACACACCCATTTTGCTGATCATCGTTCTTCTTCCCAACCTTTAGCAATGCATCTTTCAGTGTTTCTAGCAAAACTTTGTGATCAACCTGAAAGAATAACTGATTTACATTTTCTATAATATTCTGCCAGTTCCATTAGGTAATACTTGATTGTGATCAAGCAAAATAATTTTGTCCTCTTGCAAGTTTCAAAGAACGTCTGTACCACAATTGAGCAGAAACTTCAAAGTTCCCAAGTAAAACTGTAGATAATCATGGTCCTCTATAAAAACTGGAAATAGCTAAATTTTCGAACCTGTTTCATTGCTTTTTGTAATTCTTCACCCAAGCATTCTGCTAGTTGATTGTGTGGGAGTTTCGTAAGTTGTGCCATTTCAGCTATCAAATCAGGCGTTTCCTCTGTTTTTAATTTGCTATCCTGAAAAACCAAAACCCATTGAACCATATTTTTCAATATCGTTTAATAAAATATGCAGCATCAATTTTAATCGAATTTTTATATCAAGTGGAGTTCAGCAGAATTTTTATAAGTAAAAAGACAACTACTAGATAAAATAAGCTTTACCTCCCCTAATAAAGCAACAGTTTCGTCGGCAGGAGGAGGAGGTGGAGGACTTGAAGGTGATGCCGAACCAACACCTCGTGAAGAAAGCATCGATGAATTAGCATCATGCCCCGGCGAACCGGGTGGCGTTTTTGGTCCCCGTCTTTCCTCATTTGCAACGCCAACAGGCGGCGGTTCACATATGGTTGGGAAATCATCCACCTTACTGTTTGACTGAAACAAGAATTTTAAAATTTGAATATAATTTCGTATTTGTTCAAGCACAAAAGTTTTCGCTTTTCAAAATGAAGAGAACAGATAACTTCAGACTAATAGTTCGTCCTCATTGTAGAGAGTACATTATGGCACCTTACGACTGCCTAATACTCAATATGACATATCAGAAATACGGAATTGATGAAGCATACTCCTAAACATTTATAAAAACAAATGCATTTCATAATCAGAAGAACTAACATTTTTGCGATTCCTAGGCGGCATATTATCTTTGGGATCAAGCGGTAAGAAGCCGAGGACAATGTGAGAATCCACACGGCCCGTAAGCATTTTGTGCCCAAGCAAACGCTCCATTAATCCCTCTCGTTGCATAAAAGCATAACATGACGAATCATCATTCTGATGACGCTCCAAGTCTTCACGTGTGAGCCCAGAAGTGGTTCGCTTGGGTGGACTATTGCTGACATTAGCAATCACACCACTCGGACCTGCTTCATCAACATCATCTTGAGCTTAAAAAATTAAAAGTTTTTCAAAAAAATCAGAGCTAGGTGAGACAAAAAATAGATTCAATATAAAATTCAATTTCTGAATAACAGCTGCAGAATTGCCTCTATACGAAGAACTGCAAGAATTTGCAATTAAAAACCATAAATTTGTATTCGTTTTTTTAATATATCACAAAAATAAAAGTATGTATGCAGCCTCACGCGTATCTTTTTTCCGTTCTTTCGGAGGATTTACCATAGAATCTAAAATTCGATCAAAAAGTTCCCCAGGTTTCGATTTCCTTGTATGTGTAGGGGCTTGCTGGTGGTCCTGCGTAGTCCTGAAATAATAAGGAAAAGTTTTCAAAAAGTAGTAATAAATCTGAAGCCAAATGATATCTATGATATCTAAGGAAAATTCCATTTTAAATTGGTATCAATTTCGATATTAATGAAGTCAATATCGATTCAGTTTAATCAAAATTAAAATAGAAGACAGTGGTTTTATCTACTGTAAGAGAATACCTTTGGTAAGCCGCACATATCGGCAAATCATTTAACTAATTCTAATTGAATCAAAACATAACTAACTTCTTCTTGGTAGGCGGTACGATGCGACTAGAAAATGCTGAATCATTCTTGCGAACCGAAGATGTCGAAGCAAGTGGAGAACGTGAATCTGATTGATCTCCCAGACGAAGTCGTTTAGTCTGAAAAAACGACTGGTAAATTTATGGTTGATAAAATTTAATGTTTATAAATTTTCAACTATTTTATTAAAATCCCGCATTTATATCATCGATCTAATTTTTTCCGGAAAAGGACATTTTGGAACAGGTTGAAAGATTCAACAAAGCAACCCTTGGAATGGATTCTTTAGTATTCCGGCTTCCAAACCAAAAGCCAGGACAGTGCAAATTAAAAGTTCTTGGAGCAAGATGGAAAACCACAAACCATTCTCTGCCTAAATTTATAATAAAGGAATAAAAGAAGTGTTTATCAACCAATCTCGACCACCACGAGCTGCTAAATTTGTAATCACTGAGATCACTAAATCACTGAAAATAAATCTGTTTAACCTTGATCCCCTCTCTAGCCCCTTCTTTAACTGTATAAATCCACCTTGAACTCAGAAATTCCTTTCTTCCATGGTTTTCTAAATATTTGATAAAAATAAACTGTTTTAGTTTACACATTTTCCATATCGATGAACCACTGCAAGATGCTCAAAAAGAAAGCCATACTCAATTAACAAACAGTTATTTCACCAGCTATCACGGTGTGCTTACCTTATCCGGTTTGGCGTCAGCTCCATTGTTTTCAGCTCTCCGTCTTGGAATTCGAAATGGACGTGTGAGTTCATTAGTGCCTATGTCCATCGTTAGCAATACATTGCAGGCAGCTTTAACTTTCTGAAATGTCAAAAAGTAGTGACGCACAGCGAAGAGATTGCGTATAAAAAAAGAGAAACAACTGAGATGCTGAAAGTTTTGAGCAGATTATTTACTAGAGAGAAAAGAAATGAAATGATCAGTACACATTCAATACAATTTGCACCACTGTCCGGATAAGGTAAGCCCAACCTTAACTAAAAATAAAGTTATGACTGGGAAAATCAAGACTCAACCCTTGTCAGAACAAGAATAGTTATAAAACGGTTATGAGCAATTATTGCATTGAGAATAAGACCAAACTTGATTATATCATAACTTGGAAAAACTGAAACCGAACTTCAAACCTGGAAGGATAATAGCACATACTCATATATAATTTATAATTTTAGTTTAGATCTTTTTAGTATAGGTATAAATCTCATAAATCTCATAAACTGCCACGTTTGAGCAATTTAGAATTAACTAAATTCGAAATCAACAAAGACCATGACAGAAATTAACGACAACTGGGGCCAGCTAGAAGTTATTTACAAATAATCGGAAATGTTTCAGGATTGAGTGTAGCTTGGAATTGACTTCAGGACTAGCAACACCACGGATGAATTAGCGACATGACCAAGTAAGTTACCACCAAGATATCTATATACTTCACGTTCTCGAAAGTCAATTAGCTTCACATTTAGCACCCAAGATTGCATTAACTTCATTCATAAATTGATTTAAACATCAATATTTATGCTCCATTTTCTTGATAAATTTTTACAACTAAAAATCAGAATCATTTACTGAAATTCAAGTTTCACGGAAGTTAGACCCACGCGATAAGTTTGACGTGAATTCTAGCAATAAAACGTCAAAAAAATAAGAGGTAACGAAAACCACGCCAAATAGCTCACATCGGAGAACTACTAGCACCGCGGCCAGTGTATAGTTCATATAACCATTTATGAAACATTTTCAGATCAATCATATTCTTCAAATTTCCAACGTCTTCTTTTCCCTTTGCTTTGGAAGTTTTTCGAAAAGTTGATTTTTCGAAACGATGACTCAAGTAAAGAAATGCTTTCAACTCAATTATACGTCGAACATATTCACGTATGAAGTAAATCGTATGTTATGCATGTGCTACAATCAAAAATTTATCGTTTGATTTTTATTTACAGCTTCGTTATCTTTCCAGCTTCTTTATCGTTATATTCATGAAATTTAAACAAAGCGTATTGAAATACTTAAGCTTTTTTTTAGAAAAAAGAACTGTCCATAACATGTATCATAATCGTTGATGGATCACAACTAATGGCCTTATCGTTGCTCTCATCATATTATTCCACACATTCTTGAGTTATTTTGCCAAGCCTATGTTTCATTTTCTTATTTTTAATTGTAAATATTTTCTTACTCATTTTGTTTACTGCAAATATTCAGTGGCATATTTTATGGCTATCTTATGCAATACTTCCTTGAACTCATTTATTATTAATAGCATAATTCGTTTTTTTGCTTATTTAAATTAGTATCAATATTCCTTGGAGTTATTTTGGCAAGCCTATTGTGAATGTTTTTTAGCTTATTTCAGAAGATCTTATTATGAGGGAAGCTCAATTCGTTAACATTTGATATCATTTTGTTAGTTTGTTTGGGTCATTAAGCGGACATTGTGTGCGACGTTGCTGCGCCCGCTCCAACCCAACTCAAATCGATTCTTTATTATGGTCTCATTTTTCATTCGTTTCCAAGTAAAAGCGTTGCAGTGATGGGATCAAATTGTTGCATGAATGGTTAAAATTTAATTTCGATTTCGAATTCAGATATATTTATGATTCATTGGAATAGGAATGACAAATACTCGATTTTACACAAATACTCGATCGCGGACCTATTCGATTTATTTCTTTGCATTGTTACATGAAATTTTCAGACAAAATGACAAATGAAGATTAATAGGAGAAGATAAAGATCCTGTTCTAGACTGAATTATTTCTAAGAAACTGTTGGGTAGATAGTTTTATTTTTATTTCTTTCTTGATATATAAGTGAAAATGATTTTCTTTTCTTGAAACTTATCAAATGATTATCATGGATTTGTTATATTAAATGTACATTGAATGTGCGAAAGAGTTATTATATTAAATAATTAAGCTAATGTTAATATCAGAGGATATGGTGACAATCAATTGCTGCTAAAAATTTAAATGACTGATAGTGTGAGTCTAACTGGGAAGGATTCAGAAAGGTTATGCATATGAAGCTGGATATAAATTACGGTGTAATATTATCATGGAATTCATCTATTTTCGATTAGCATTCTCGTTCTGTTGATATTTCTTTTTCCGTTCTGTTAAAAATTTTGGAATTTCAAAACAAAAGAAATGAATTAAATTATGGAGAAAATTTCCTCACCTTTATTCGTCATGAACAAAAAGAAACCCGCACCACATGTAAAAATTGCTCCTTTCTTCTTCCAACTGTATTTTGGGTATTTTTGCATCTCTTTTTCTCATTTCTTCTTTCTTGCTTGGATTTTCATATAATTCAACTTTTACTTATTTCTAAGTCTGCCAATCAACTCTTCTTACTTTTGACGATAAAACGCTTGCTAGGAATAAATTTATACTTCATCTAACTGTTACCCTCATAATCATTTTCAAAATTTATATTTTACATATACCAAGTCAATTTGGATAAGAATAATTAAAATGATAAATGAATGAAAGGAATTTGGCCTATCATTGCTTTCGTAGTTAACACGAAGAAACAACCCTAAGCTTGTTATGAATATATAATCTAAATTTGATTTATTTTTGACCGTTTTATTTTTGAATCTTTCTTACCGCCATCATTTTTCACTAAATTCACCGTATGAGATCAATTTAGATAATACACACAATTTTCATTTAAAGATTACGGAATATGCAGAGGCATAAAAATTCATTGGAACCTAATTTAAAAGGTAACAAATAAATCCAAAACAATACCAATTATTTGATTGCTCGCAAATGTTTCAAAAAGAAATAACAGTGATCAATTTTTATTTGCCTGAGAAAAAAACACCGGATTGCTGAAATAACTAAGACGGATGCGGAAGTTTTCGTTATATTGATAAAATATAAAATTTGAAAAATTTCATAAAGACTTAGTCTGATTTTTTTCTTGTCATTTAAAATATCACTCAATCAAATTTTCGACAACATTAAAACTGAAATGCAAAAATTGGAATCAAGACAAAATACTAGCTAAAACACCATCGACCAAACAATAGTGCCTTTTTAGAAAATAAGGTGACGGCTACAAACAATACTTGAAAATTAAATCCGGATGCACTTTATATACAAAACATTTCTGAAAGGCATCGTTGACATGATGACATGATAAAAAAAATTTATGTGCCATAGAAAGCCCTATATGTGTTATTCTTGAAAGGTTGGTTGAAATTTGAAACAAATTACGGGGATTTCAGCTACCAGCGACAAATTTATGTTTGAGCATTTTCAAATTTGAATAAAAAGAGAAAGAAAAAAAATTTCCTCTCATAGAAATGAACGAAGCGTGGAAATTGAAGTTAGCTAATGAAGCAGCAAAAAGTGAAAACAACCTAGAACACAAAACTGGCAGTGGTACAGTTATCAGATTGAAAGAATTGAGCTTTAGAAATTGTATTAGCATATTGATGTTCTACCACTATTAGTCTCACCTATCCTTTTCCCATATTTGATGATTCTACTATTTGCACTTTTTTCACTAGAAATATTAAATTTCTCGCCTCCCTCTTTCCTTGTCATGGTTCAATTAGGGATAACATAAGTTCTCTCACTGAAGCACTTTATCCAATAAATTATTCACTGTTTTCATTCTAAATTATCCCATTGTAAATTTTTGATCCAAACTTTCCTGATTTTTCCTCAGCTCGACCCTTTAAAAATCTAAAATAACATATCACAGAAATGCGTGTTTACTCATCAACAGAAGACCTGACACTGTCGGTGGATTCAATATTTTTTGTTAGCGTGTAAGAAGCAGAACATGAAATTCGGATTTCATTTTCGGTTGTCACAGCTGCAGAAGCAGGAACACAAGGGAGTGAGGAAGGTTTTTCGGGTAACGACAAAAGAGTTACAGATGGTAGTGTTATGTCAGCTACCGAACGTAAAGTTCCCGGTATTATGCCTTTTTCTTTACGCTTTTCACCTCGTGCTCGTCGTTCTTTTTCCGCACATTTCGCTGCACTGTCAACCTGAAATGAAATGTTCTAAAAGTTTCTAACAATAAATGTAGTTTAAAAACTAATATCAACGCATAAAATACAAGCTTTCTGCCTGCTCACACCCTGAGACCCTCCTTTTTCTTGGTTGTTATATCTATAGCTATACCAAAGTAAAAGATATGATGCTCTTAAAATTACGGAACTACGCTCGAAATAAAGTTTGCATTTGAGAAATAAATGCATCGAACAAAAAGATATCGAATAAACATGTAAAAGAGTTTCATTGATAATGGGATCTTACTTCTAAAGCTTTGGCGACAATATCCTGAATTTTCCGCTCCATTTCCTCATCCTCTTTTGGATCACTAGGCTGCTTGTTGGATCCAGAAAGAGGCCTTTTGGCAACGCCGTTCCGAATCTGTCGCTGTCGGGAGCGCTTCAGTGGAGTGGCGCCAACAGACAGTGAAGTTAAAGTAGAGTGAGTGGAAGATTGATGCCCGAAACCACCTTAAAAAGTTATTGTTGTGAGCTTTAGCTTCCATATGTTTTATTTCATGAATCAAAAATGCGACTTTTCCGGTCAATCCATCAAGCCAAAAATTTGTTCATTGTCTGCTTCATTTTGCTAAATTTCAGGAGCATATTAAATATTTCACTACCTGGAGCGGATGAAAATGTCAGAACAGCACTATCCGACTGCGGTGACAGGAGACCGTCTAATGTTGATGCTCCATGGTTACTGACATCTGCGGCAGCGTTTCCGATAATATCACCCTGAAAACAT